CAATGATAGCATGGGATTTCAGTACCATTTTTGTCCACATTTGTGTTTACTCCATTTCTTTTCAGACGCTCAGCTCTCATCCTTTCTGCAATCATTTCTTCCTTCAGCTCATTCCCTTCCTGATATGCCCTTTCCACACAACACGGTCCATGGCATTTTGTTCCCATGAGTCCACCTCAATACCTGTATCATTCATGTCCTGCTTGCACACATCTTTATAGCGTAGTAGAGGTCGGCCTCAACATCTTCTTCCTGTCTTTAATTCACCATAAATGATGTCCTTAGGGACTCTGCCATCCTCAATTCTCCAGGTGTGACCCAGCCACCTGTCTTCGTAGGCTGAGCATGGAAAACACTGTTGTAGTACCTGCTCTTTCCAGTACCTCAGAGTTTGTGATTTTGTCCTGCCATTTATTGCCAAGTATTCTTTCTTTTTAGGCATCGCATGTGAAAACCGTCTCTCCTGGTGCAAATAGGTTGACCAAGTTTCACTGCCATAAAGCAGAGTGCTGAGAACACAAGCCTTATAGACAAGAGTTTTTGTTTTAATTGTGAGCTTTCTGTTCTCTCAAACTCTCTTTGTCAATCTGCTCATTGGTTTGTTGCTGCCTTACCTTTCCTGATGTTGATTTCTTGGTCCAGCGATAGTTTACTATTCACTGTGGAACCCAGATAGGTAAAATGGTCTATTGTCTCAAGCTCTTCACCGTCAATGTAGACTGTAGGTCTGTCATTGACACCTTGCACCATAACCTGTGTCTTCTTTTTGCTGACTGCTAGTCCAAATTCAGAATGATTAGAGGAGACTAGGAACCTTGATAAAGGCTATTGTGCAGAAACAGATGTTCCTGTGAACATACAGCTCTGTTGGCAGTGTTGAAGTACATTCTGAGCATTTTTAGGTGCCAGATTGCAGGGAGACATCTCTGTGCTTACTATACCGAAAAACTTATATGTTGATGGAGTCTGTTGTACTGTATCATTATTCTTCTTTTTTTTTTTTCCTTCTACTTATTTGCCATCTTCGTCTTAGCACTCACCGGCTGTAAACTCCAGTTCTGGTTGTTTGTCCACTTCTGGACTTTCGTGCCTCTGCACTGTTCACTTGCTCTCAAGGAGCCTTAACCACCTGCAGCTTATTAAGCATACATTCATCACCCATTGGTGCGGACATAAAGGTGACCAAAAAACGGGGACACTGTGGAGTGAAGTTGAAAAAAAGATGGGGGAGGAAACTGGGAGGGGGGGAGGGCGGGCTACATGCAATAAATACCAAAGGTAAAGAACCACTTGGCATGAGGCACAATTAGGGAGAGAAGGCAGAAGAAGAAGAAAATAATTGATACAATTTTCTAGACCTAAATTTTGTGGAGGCCTAACATTGCAAGCACCAACAGCTGCGCCTGCCATTTACTTTTTACAAGTCAGCAATCTTCATTGCTGATGATAAATCAGTTTTCCAGTTCTTATTCAGTGTAACGTAAAGCATTTAACTCTGCATTTCTGTGTTACATCTCATGATGCCAGTATACTTGTAGTCAGGGCTTTTATTTTCCCTAGCGTAGGTGACAGAACGCTGGCACACGTTTTCTGGCGAGGATAAGCCCTGATTATAATAAGAATCTGCATTTGTCAAGAAACCAACCTTATATCCAAAATATTCTTACCATTACAATATTTTTTTTTTTATATGTAAATTTTCTTATTTGTCCCTCTCTAAAAGTATTTATTATTAGGAGTTAATTTGGACCAGCACTTATGTTAAATAATGTAGCTGTGTTGTATTCCTAAATGTCAGCTATTGTATCACTGTCTTTAGTCATTTTTCATTTTCATCTAAATCATAAATGTATTAAAATAAAGATCTGAGTATGAATTCTTTGGATTTCTTGTTGTTTTATTTTAGTTTCAGTTTACATGTGAACACACTGTTGCAGTTTGGAGTGTTGGGCACTGTCTACCTAACCTGACATCACATTGTGCCAAAGCTTCAGAAAGATGGGCACAGTGGGAAGGATGGAATCCAACCTGAAAACTTAGGGCCGGGTAGACTAGGCCTTTAGCTTTGGTTGGCAGCTGGTCTAGGAGTGAAGTTCTGACAAGCAGACAGACAGAGCACTGCTTTTCTGCTTTGGCAGAATGCTTGCTTTGTTCCAAATGTATTGATATTTACCTTTCCTTCGGAGTCAAGAAAACAGACTGAGAGAATTATCATACTTCATGGGCAACAGATAGTCTCAATAATACTGCTCAGGCATTGTGCTATGGACAAAAAGGAACTTCATTTTTGACCTTACCTGGTATGGCCATGTGGCCTGTGATTTCAAAGCCTGCCTATCAAACAATGGAACACTTAGTCTGTAAGGATGGAAAAATGTCAACAACAAAAATAAGTGTTGCAATATGGGGAAGCTCCTTTTTTCTTCTTCCCCTCCTCCTTTATTTCTTCTCCTCCTCCTCCCAATATTTTTTATTTGGACAAAATTGTGTTATGCCTCCTTACAGTAAAAAAAAAAAAAAAAAGTAAAGATCCCTTTTCACATCTTTTAGGTGTATCAAGTACATGGGAAGAGCGCCCATATTTTTTCAGACCATCGGCACTAGGTGGGTAATGTGGTCAGCATTACGCTGGCCATCTTTACTTTCCCAGGACAGCCATCCTGGTTCCCATTTTAGGCTGAGTCGACCTGCGACGCCCCATACTATGATAAAAATCCACACAGCCAGCAGTGGGATTCGATCGCAGTACGTCAGAATTACGAGTCAGACTGGCAATGCCTAGGCCAGGGATGCCGCCCTCTTTACAGTGAAGCTGCAATATTTCACGAGATACTGCCAGCCTCTTCAAGTATTTGTTGGCAGGTTAGCTGTAGGGGATTACATCTGTCAGCTTAAATAGCTTTGCCATAGTCTGTAGTTTTGAATGAGCTTGAAGGTAAAGGTAAAGTCAGGAGATGCGAATATTTACCTTTAATTTAAAGTAATAACATGATAATTACAAGACAGGGAAAAGATATAAACTCCAGCCACATACAAGTCGATAATATGAAAATCAAACAAATGGAAACATATAAGCACTTGGGTGCAAACTTCAACTGCTCCAACATGCTGAGAGAAGAAATACAATCTAGAATACAACCTGTAAATAAAGTATACTATGCCCTTCAACATCTGCTAAAAAAGTCTCTTTCTTACAACACCAAGATCAAAATATATAAAATGTTGATAAGACCAGTTATTTTATATGCTCTGAAACTTGGAGCACAACTAAAAGAGATGAAGGCTTATAACAGGTTTTAGAAAACAGAGTAGATGGCTAGGACTCACGAGCAAAGCTGCAGGAGATGTGGAAGCTGCTGCTGAGGAGTCCCAGCCATCTATCTAGTTCAGCCACAATCCACGCCGCATGAGCAGCGTGGGGGATACTCTCGGCGGTGGCGGCAGTCGCCGGAAAACTGCAAATTAAGTCGCCGGAAGTGCGCAATTGACACGTGACTAAGGCTCTGTTAGGGTGTTTTTGCGACCGCCATCTTTTGTGCCCGTTATTCGGAGAATAGCCACATAAAGTCTTGACATTGTTTACATAGTGCTGTGCATATGTTTCTATGGGAAAAGTAGCTGGTTTGATACGAACCCTCCTTAGTTTTTTTGTTTTTTTTTATGAATACATAATTGGTGGATTTTAATGTTACTAATGTTTGCTTGAACGCTTGAACATGACCGTAAGGCTAAGACGTCAGTGGCTAGGAGCAGTGGCCTAGTAAGATCAGGTGGTATTCGGTGTGGAAAAGTTGCTTCCCTAACCCGTGGCATTGCGACATCAAGTGGTACCCAGTGTGAAAAAGTTGCTCCCATAACCCATGGCATTGCGACATCAGGTGGTACCCAGTGTGAAAAAGTTGCTCCCATAACCCATGGCATTGCGACATCAGGTGGTACCCAGTGTGAAAAAATTGCTCCCATGGCATTGTGACATCAGGTGGTACCCGGTCTGAAAAATTTGCTCCTCTAACCCGTGGCATTGTGACATCAGGTGGTACCCGGTCTGGAAAAGTTGCTCCTCTAACCCGTGGCATTGCGACATCAGGTGGTACCCGGTGTGGAAAAGTTGCTCCCCTAACCCGTGGCATTGCGACATCAGGTGGTACCCGGTGTGGAAAAGTTGCTCCCCTAACCCGTGGCATTGTGACAGGTGGTACCCGGTGTGAAAAAGTTGCAAGCAAGCTAGCAGGCCACAGCAGAACCGCAACATCCAGTAATAAAGTAGAGGACAAATTAATTAAACGTAACATTAATGACTGAAAAAAAAAATAGTAAAGATCTGATAGCTGAGTAAAGACATCACATTTACTTGGAAAATTAACACACTACTAACAGTAAGATGACCCCCCCCCCTCCCCCTCCCCCCAACCATGTTTACACACACACACACACACTCGGACAAAATCAGGCCAGGTAAGAACTGAAATGTTCACAATAATGTGCAATGTATTAGTGTATAGCATTTTATTGGACACAAAAACACAGAAATTAATCAATTTTACAGTTAAGTTGAAATAAAACAATAAAAATACATGCAACACAATTCTGAATGATTTGCTACAGTGCACAATAATAGATGCAGAACCAACCATCTGTACCATGAAAGTTGTGGGCTGAATAGCATGAGACCAGAAAAGTGCTCGGTCATGCAGTGGGAAAAGTATTCCTACACTGGCACTGTGTAATGTGGTTGAAGGACAGGGTCCCCCAAAAAGAAGATATGAATTACCTGATGGTCAATCCTTAAAATGACTTACTACAGGTGTTTTTAGGGTAAACAGGCATAGAGTCTCCAGATCTGGATGTATACATTTAAAAATGTACCATAAAAACGCCACATTCTTACTGTTTCACTCACAATGGGGGCCCTAGAGTCCATATGGGGAAATGTGGACTTGAATCAAAGATCTTCAGCCCGACAGAGAAGCAAAATCCTTCTAATTTTCTTTTCTTTCTTCTCATATCTCATCATCAAACCGTTTTCTTTTTATAATTCTGCCGCTGCTGCTGCGATGCACCAATGCTGGCTCTGTCGTGGCAGACTTTTCTAAAGATTTTATTTCAGCCACAGGTTTCACGTTCTTGTCTACTGTAGGATGTGGCATGTCAACATATGAGGACGCCCTATTGTCTGAAGGCCTAAACTGTGTGGATGTCCTTTTGCATGAAGGGTTTGACTGGGTGATCATCTTTTTGCCAGAAGGAGCTGACTGTGTAGTAAGCTTGCTGTTAAAGGCAGGTTTTTGAACTGAAGACCTTGACCCCTTCACTTTTGCAGAAACACTTGATGTAAGGTTATCTCCAGCCTGAATAAACTCTGACAATGCACTTTTATGAGAAATGTCTGATGTTTTTGTTACTTTCTGTTTAGTAGGAGATATTTTTCTGAGTTTCTGTTTGATTGTTTTATCAGATTTTTTCAAGCCTACATCTACTCTCTCTTTTACACCATGTTTAGACTGAGTTCTTGCTACAGGAACTATTTTTCTGGTTTTGGAAGACTCGCTACCTGCACTGCCGCTTACAGACTTCTTACTATTTTTATTTTTCAACAACTCTGAATCTGAGTTTTGTTGTAATTTAACATCGACCTCTTCTTTTATTCTCCCAGGAAAACCGGTTGCAAATTTTAAATTTTGCACATTTTTTCCTGATTCTTCAAGCTCATGTGAGTTTCTGACTTTATTTTTGTCAGGTTCTGTCTTAATTCCTGCTAAAGGCTGCAGTTTCTTAGCAATACCTTTACTCACATCCTCTGTAGCCTCTGAAGCAGAAAGCAGGTTCACATTCGTATTTTCTGAAGAGCTTGTTTTAGACCCATCAGACTCAGATGTATTCCGATGCCCAGGTCTTGCTCCACAGTTTGCGAAGGTAGCACCAATGTCTCGAACTGACATGATGATTGGAGGTTTGACATGTGCAGGATCTGATAATCTGACAGACTTCTTCTGTGGAACCGCCTCACTGGTTTCTAGTGTATTTTTAGATTCTGTGGTCTCGTTAAAAACTCCACCAACACTAACAGCATCAGGTTCACTTATTCTGTGTGACTGCTTTACATTCTTAACTCGAATCACCTGAGATGTTTCAGGTGAATTTGCTTTCTTTTCCTGTGCAGTATGTTTTAGCGCTGCAAACAGATGTGAGATGAATTCCTTGGTGGCAGAAAACTGTGTGGTTTGATCATCACCCTCAATGACAAACAAATTAGTAGAACTGTCAGATGTGGTTGCTTCTGTGTGGAAACTGTCTTCTCCATCCTCTGTTGTCACAGTGGTGGTATCTAATACTGCTTTAGCTTTACCAGACACTAATCTTGACTCTTGTGTGGAAGAAAGTTGTTCATCATTGCGTGAAATAAGAGTCTCTGTTTCTGAGGAACTACTCAGTGCTTTCTGTATGGCCTCCAAAAGCCTAGCTTCTGCTTCAACTGTATCAGAACCACCTTCGTGAATTGTCAGTGTAGTCATAGTGCCATCACAATCAACAACCTCACAGACAACTTCTTGACCATCTATTTTATAGACCTGTAATTTTTCCACACCTCCAGTTCCCAAGCTAATGTAGGTCACATCATCTGCACCAATATTCTGTTTTGCAGCTGGACTTTTTATATCCTCTGATGAGTCTCTTCTAACTCTCAAACCAACTGTATTTTTGATAGGGGAATGCATAGACAAGGGTGCTGGTTTCACAAAGACTGGAATGCAGGCTTCTCCTCTAATCTTGATCTCCCATTTGTGGAGAAACTTCATGTGCCTGTAAACAGAGCTCTGCTGGTAGAACTCCCGATTGCAGATGGAGCAGACGAATATCTGCTTGACTCCATGTACTTTGATAATGTGTTTGGTCACCTGCTGAGTATTCTTCATGACACTAGTACAGATATCACAACGATGCAAACCCACACTCTCCACATCCTCCTCACTGTGGGACTTTAAATGTTCACTGAGGCAGATTTTAGAACTAAACTTCTCGCTACATACAGGGCACACATGTGACACGCTCAGTTCTGGAGACTCATTGACGTGTTTCTTAGAATCATTACACCCTGCTACTCTCACAGTTCCATTTTCCCCAGTTTTCTCAATGCTCACTTTCTCTTTGTTGTTTTCACTGTTCTGATTGACTGTCTGAACTTGAGTGTCTGCCTTTGTTTGATGTTTATTATTCTGTGTGCTGCTGCTATACCAAGAAGATAAATCAGACTGATGCACAGTTATCTTGTGCACTTTTCTCAAGTGATACCTGAGACTTGAAACCCCTCTGAACTGCATTGCACAAATACTACAAAACAGCAAAGAATTCCCACTTGTCTCTAAAACCTCCTTGACCCCTGCTGTTTTGGTTGTTGTGCTGGCATTATCTCCTTCAGAGGCCACATCAGAAAGTGGTGTGCCCTCATCAGCAGTGATGTTGGAAAAAGAAGAAGCAGAAGGAATATCATGACCCACTGATGTAATATTGTCTTTAGTATCGTTCCTGTTGACTGAACTTACTGTATGAATACTTAGTTGTTCATTTCTCTCAGATGGGCTATCATCATGAACAGTTTCAGCTGTCTTGGTATGCACTGCGGTGTCCCTTTCTGGAGGCTGCAGGGAAACTGTAATCACATATTTATCAGAAACTCCTTCTGCATGAGCAGAATCGACATGGTGGTTCGCCTCAGAGTTAGTTGCCACAGCAACAGCTGAGTTATTGCTTCCCTTGTCTTTGTTGACCTTCTTTTTGTTCACTTTCAGAAACTGGGGTTTGTTGACATTTAGTTCAAAACTGTCATCAGACCAAACCGCCTTGTCGATTGTCCAAGTGGGGTCCATACTTTGACAAAACTTAATCTGCAATGTTTGGGATACAAAATAAAATGTGAGTGCATGATCAGACAGATATTCAGAAGATTCAAGCAATGAAGCTACACAAAAACTACCCCACAAAAATGGTAATAACACTATTCTATATAAAAGTAGAAATTAACATTCATTAAACAAGGAAAAGTCAAGGCCATGATTACATGTCCTGAGACACACTGAGTAGATGGTGCTACCAGAATTTAGTTACCACTACTTAAAAACAAAAAGTGAAGGACCCTTTGTTTCCATGCCCCTGGTGCCTCAGGCATACAGTGCTAGACCACCCATGTTTTTATAGACCAATCGGCCCTTGATGTGTGATGTGGTCATTGTGTTGGACATCTTTCTTTTATAGATCAATCGGCACTCGATGTGGTCATTGTGTTAGACATCTTTCTTTTATAGATCAATCGGCACTCGATGTGGTCATTGTGTTAGACATCTTTCCTTTATAGAACAATTGGCCCTCAATGTGGTCATTGTGTTAGACATCTTTCCTTTATAGAATAATCGGCCCTTAATGTGGCCATCGTGTTAGACATCTTTCCTTTATAGAACAATCGGCCCTCAATGTGGTCATTGTGTTGGACATCTTTCCTTTATAGAATAATCGGCCCTTAATGTGGTCATCGTGTTGGACATCTTTCCTTTATAGAATAATCAGCCCTTAATGTGGTCATCATGTTGGACATCTTTCCTTTATAGAACAATTGGCCCTCAATGTGGTCATCGTGTTCGACATCTTTCCTTTATAGAACAATTGGCCCTCGATGTGGTCATTGTGTTGGACATCTTTCCTTTATAGAACAATCGGCCCTCGATGTGGTCATTGTGTTGGACATCTTTCCTTTATAGAACAATCGGCCTTTAATGTGGTCATCGTGTTGGACATCTTTCCTTTATAGACCAATTGGCCCTCGATGTGGTCATTGTGTTGGACATCTTTCCTTTATAGAACAATCGGCCCTTAATGTGGTCATCATGTTAGACATCTTTCCTTTATAGAACAATTGGCCCTCAATGTGGTCATCATGTTAGACATCTTTCCTTTATAGAACAATCGGCCCTTGATGTGGTCATTGTGTTAGACATCTTTCCTTTATAGAACAATCAGCCCTTGATGTGGTCATCGTGTTAGACATCTTTCCTTTATAGAACAATCGGCCCTCGATGTGGTCATTGTGTTGGACATCTTTCCTTTATAGACCAATTGGCCCTCGATGTGGTCATTGTGTTGGACATCTTTCCTTTATAGACCAATTGGCCCTCGATGTGGTCATTGTGTTGGACATCTTTCCTTTATAGACCAATTGGCCCTCGATGTGGTCATTGTGTTGGACATCTTTCCTTTATAGAACAATCGGCCCTCGATGTGGTCATTGTGTTGGACATCTTACCTTTATAGAACAATCGGCCCTTAATGTGGTCATTGTGTTGGACATCTTTCCTTTATAGACCAATTGGCCCTCGATGTGGTCATTGTGTTGGACATCTTTCCTTTATAGAACAATTGACCCTTAATGTGGTCATCGTGTTAGACATCTTTCCTTTATAGAACAATCAGCCCTCGATGTGGTCATCGTGTTAGACATCTTTCCTTTATAGAACAATCTGCCCTTGATGTGGTCATTGTGTTAGACATCTTTACTTTATAGAACAATCGGCCCTTGATGTGGTCATTGTGTTGGACATCTTTCCTTTATAGAACAATCGGCCCTCGATGTGGTCATTGTGTTGGACATCTTTCCTTTGTAGAACAATCGGCCCTTAATGTGGTCATCGTGTTGGACATCTTTCCTTTATAGACCAATTGGCCCTCGATGTGGTCATTGTGTTGGACATCTTTCCTTTATAGAACAATCGGCCCTTAATGTGGTCATCGTGTTAGACATCTTTCCTTTATAGAACAATCGGCCCTTGATGTGGTCATTGTGTTAGACATCTTTCCTTTATAGAACAATAGGCCCCTGATGTGGTCATCGTGTTGGACATCTTTCCTTTATAGAACAATCAGCCCCTGATGTGATCATCGTGTTGGACATCTTTCCTTTATAGACCAATTGGCCCTCGATGTGGTCATCGTGTTAGACATCTTTCTTTTATAGACCAATTGGCCCTCGATGTGGTCATCGTGTTAGACATCTTTCCTTTATAGAACAATTGGCCCTCAATGTGGTCATCGTGTTAGACATCTTTCCTTTATAGAACAATCAGCCCTTAATGTGGTCATCGTGTTAGACATCTTTCCTTTATAGAACAATCGGCCCTTAATGTGGTCATTGTGTTGGACATCTTTCCTTTATAGACCAATCGGCCCTTAATGTTGTCACTGTATTAGACAATTTTCCTTTATAGACCAATCTGCCCTTGATGTTGTCACTGTATTAGACAATTTTCCTTTATAGACCAATCTGCCCTTGATGTTGTCACTGTATTAGACAATTTTCCTTTATAGACCAATCGGCCCTCGATGTGTGATGTGGTCATCATGTTGGACATCTTTGCTTCCCAGGATTTTTCCTGGTGCCATTTTAGGCTTTATCGATGCAGGGGCAACATTACTTCTGGAGAAAAAACATCCACCACAGTGGAGATTTGAACTTTAAACCTTTGGGTCGGCAGGCGAGAGTCTAGCCGCTATGCTACCACTAGAATGGTAACGTAGTCAATATCATGGCAGTCATCTTTACTTCCCAGGACAATTCCCCCACTGGGTGAGAAGACAAGCTTGCTAGTCACTGTGCATAAATAATTTGCTTCCAATTCATTACCTAAACTATTTAAAAACCTAAACTCTTAAAAATAAGTTTTAAAAATATGATATCCAATAATTGTAAAATCTACCATACTAAATTATTCTTAGCAAAAAGAGAATATGAAATGCCACAAAGCAATTTGATGTCTTTGCACTCGAACCCACAGGGTTAAAGCAGAAAAAGAAAACAATAAAAACAGAGGAGGGAATAAGAGAGTGAAGCAAAAAAAGATCCAGAGGACATAAGAGTGAGAGCTACACACAATATCAAAAGACAGGACCACTTGGCATGAAATGGCCATGGGCCTATGCTCCACTGGGAGATAAAGAGAAGAAGCTGCAAAGCAACAAAATGACAAAAAACTGTGAAATGTACCTTGAGTTTATGATGAAAGCTGATGTGTCTGATGGTGATGCTTCGAGACAGGAAACGGTTGTGACAGAATGAGCACTGATACCTTTCCACCTGTGAAAGAAAACATACAACAAATGTATCACACTGAGATGTTAGGTTAGGTTACAAGTTCTGCAGTCCCCTCTAACAAAACAAAATAGATATTTCCTGTTTGGTATTAAGACTTTCCCCCTCCAAGGCAGAATTACCTTAACTCGTTATATGTCTGCTTCTTCTTGTGTTCGTATTCTGATTTACATCGACAAACAAGTTCTTGTGATAAATTTGACTGTTTTTAAAAGTTCCCATTTAGTTCCATACAACTTTGAGTGCAGTGTTGACTTAGTGAGCCAGTATTCCATTCTTAATGGGCTGTGCAAGGGACATCCTTGCAGGATATGTTCTGTAGTCTGCACAAACAGCCCACACAGCAATGGTGAACTACTTAGACAAAGCCTGTTCTTGTTAAGTCTGATATGTCCTGTCCTGAGGTGCAGAACAATGACCTGCCCAAGCCGGTCAAGTAAGTGGTAGTCATCTCTAGCCAGACTGTTCACTTCTGAAAGACTGGATGGCCCTTTTCTTCTGACTCAAAGTTTGTTATTGCATTCTCTTTCTGTTCACATTCTGCACCTTTCTTAGCAAGTTTATCTGCAGTTTTGTTTCCTCGTATACCACAGTGGGATGGCACTCACTGAAGTACAATAAATACACTTCTGGGCAGCCACCTTGCCAAGTTCAGATCTCAGGTGAGGAATTTTACCACTCTTGAGGGCTTGGACCACTGATAGTACATCTGTGAAGATGAGCACTTGGTGAGTCATAAATGGTGTTTAACTCATTATATCATAAGCATCTATTACTTAATGTAAGACGTGTCTGGGTCGGAGCAGGTTTCTACTAATAACACAACTGGACAAAAAGAGCCACAGTAAAATTTTGGCAATGATGGTTTAACAATGAGGAAGGAAGAGTAAAACAAAATCATATCTGTAAAAAGAAACTAGTAAATACAAGGTGAGCTGCTTGGTAGTGTAAGAGCTGAAAACATTGCTTGCCTGTAATTAAATACCTCACTCCTTTCTCTCTCTACATATGTGAGAATAATAAATAATTTCTTTCATTTTTTTTTTAAATGGTCTATTTTTTATAAAGTTGTCTCCTGTTTTTGGCAATTACCTGGCTATGGCAATCAGTTTTCGCTTCAGATAAAACTTCAGATATACATTTTGTGCAGCAGGCCAAAACCACACATTGTTTGAAATAATAACTACTCCACAATCATGGTTTGAACTGGATTCACTGTGTCTTTCGATGACCACAACAAATATACAACAACAGTGCAGACCTGATCAGGAGAACTCTCCAATTACCCAAAATAAAAAATGCTTCTTCTAATCAGAAATTCCTCTTATCCAGATAATAGTTCAAGCAAGAAAAATTGCAGGGGATAAACACTTTGTTATTTACAACAGAAATTCATCACATCCGATATCGCCTTAAACGGTCAGCATGATATTATGAGAGTTTATAGTTACGTTCTCTCTCCTCAATGACATTTCAAGTCACATTACACCAAAAATGACAATCTAACCACAATACACCAAAAATGACAATCTAACCACAATACACCAAAAATGACAATCTAACCACAATACACCAAAAATGACAATCTAACCACAATACACCAAAAATGACAATCTAACCACAATACACCAAAAATGACAATCTAACCACAATACACCAAAAATGACAATCTAACCACAATACACCAAAAATGACAATCTAACCATAATACACCAAAAATGACAATCTAACCACAATACACCAAAAATGACAATCTAACCACAATACACCAAAAATGACAATCTAACCACAATACACCAAAAATGACAATCTAACCACAATACACCAAAAATGACAATCTAATCACAATACACCAAAAATGACAATCTAACCACAATTCACCAAAAATGACAATCTAACCACAATACACCAAAAATGACAAACCACAATACACCAAAAATGACAAACCACAATACACCAAAAATGACAAACCACAATACACCAAAAATGACAAACCACAATACACCAAAAATGACAAACCACAATACACCAAAAATGACAAACCACAATACACCAAAAATGACAAATCACAATACACCAAAAATGACAAACCACAATACACCAAAAATGACAATCTAACCACAATACACCAAAAATGACAATCTAACCACAATACACCAAAAATGACAATCTAACCACAATACACCAAAAATGACAATCTAACCACAATACACCAAAAATGACAATCTAACCACAATACACCAAAAATAACAATCTAACCACAATACACCAAAAATGACAATCTAACCACAATACACCAAAAATGACAATCTAACCACAATACACCAAAAATGACAATCTAACCTTATCGTGTTGATGACAAAAATAATATAAAATGGAGAAGTACACTCTTAACTGATACTTTAAAAAGCACCTTCTATTTTTCTGTGTTCCTTTGAGGATGTAACTGCCATGTGCCAGTCAACAGTTTAAAAAAAAAAAAAAAAGCACTCTTTTCATGCCATTGGTGCATTTGGCATCTGATGCTACTCACATATTTGTATGGATCAATCAGCCCTTGATGGGTGATGCAGTCAACATCATGCCAGGCCACCTTTACTTCCCAGGACTTTACCTGGTACCTTTTTTAGGTTGGGTCAACCTGGGAGCCAGGGTCATTTTGAAAAACATGATGCAGATTTGAACCCAATACTTTGTAGCCAGCAGGTGGGGCTGCAACACCACTGCGGCTACTCAGTTTACAGCATGGCTGTGATATTTGCGCATTTTTGGTGATACATCTCACTTCTTTAGGCATTTGTTGCCCAGGTTAGCCTAGTTAATGTAACAAATCACATACTGACAGCAAAGAACAAAGATAATAGCATCAGCTCACCTGGGTATGGTTGTTACGTATATGACTTCGTAGTTGAGCATTCTGCCTAAAGCTGGCTTGACAAAAGTCACACTCATAAGGCTTCTCGTCTGTGTGTATGCGGATATGTTCAATCATGATGCTCTTTCGACCAAATATTCTGGTGGGGAGGGAGGTGAATAAATTATAACATGTTTATGGCAACTGGAGAGTGTCTTAAATAATGGGTTCTTTTCTTTTATATCTCTCCCTTCTTGGCGAACGGACTACGAGATTACATAGGAAATTCCCGGTAAAGTCCAATAGTATAGGGGTGTTAGCGTGTGAAATAAACACTGACTAACACTAACCCTACCTCAGAACTTGAATACAAGACTTTCCTGGCGATTCCCTATGAAATCTCGGAGTCCCCGAGATGGACTAAAAGAAAAAAAACCAAAGAATGTCCTGTTATCTAAAGTTTTTATATGTGTGTATAGAATCCATGAGACAATCAATCAATCAATCACTCACTCACTCACTCACTCACTCACTCTCTCTCTCTCTCTCTCTCTCTCTCTCTCTCTCTCTCTCTCTCTCTCTCTCTCTCTCTCTCTCTTTCTCTCTCATGAACACACACAAATCTTCATGAATAATAACCATGTCTATACAAGCAGAGGGATAAGTCACTGACTGATGACCTCCAAGTGCACGTGTGCTTACTAACAGTTGCTCTGTTCAATTCTGCAACATCTGCCACCATAAATTAAAGGAACTTTTTCACGCTAACGGCATACTGGAACTGGATGGGGGTGATGTGGTCAAATCATGTCAGCCTTCTTTACTTCCCAGGCTGGGTCGATCAAGCCATACATTTTAAAGATAAAATTCGACTCAATGCAGATCTTGCATTATAACTTTCATTTAACTTAGATATAACATTTAGATATTTTTGGTAATCTGATAAGCACCATGAAAAATGCTTTAAAGAAATACAAGTAAATTAAATGTAGAAAAGATCAAGCAAATGCAGAATTTTATAAAATGAAGAATATTCTATTCAATCTTTCTTTGTCAAGTGAGATGGGGAAAACAATTCTCAAGAACCATGTAAATCCTATACTGGAAATGAATCAAGGACAGTTGGAAAATGAGTGAAAATGTATTTGTAAGTGGTGGAGATGTGGTTTTATTCAAGCTTGTAGAAGAAATATGAGAATACCCTGGGCAGATAAAAACTGTAATGAAGATGTCTTGAAAGAAACTGATTCACAGAGACCTAATTGCTCACATCAGAGGGAGAATCTACATTATTTGGTCAAGTCATGAGAAGGAGAAAACTGGATAACATGATCCTGGTGGGAAAGTCAGAAGGTAAAAGAGGCAGAGGGATATCAAGAGAGAAGATGCTAGACAGTCTGAGATCATGGCATGGAAAGTCATCTGTGTCAGAAATGACTGAAGGTACATGAGACAGAAGGTTGTGGATAGACCTGACTACCAACGCCACATGGCACAGACTATGATTGAAAAGAGATAATTTGAATAAAGTCAGTGGAAAGGTGCCTGGTACAGAGAATACAATCAGAGTTTTAAAAAATCATCTCTCTCTCTCTCAATTTTTTCGACAAAAATGCATCGCGAAAAAGCTCTTTTCCCCAGAACTCACCTGCCACACACTGGACACTGGTGAGGATCCTGACTGTTCATGATGCCTCCTTCTTTCGATAAAATAATTTTGGTAACATTTGGATCATTCTCATCTTCTTCTTCCGCTTTGAAGAATGTGACCGTCCTTGTCTTTGTCTGGGCACACTTCTCCGAATGCATTCCTTCCCCGCCAATCAGTGACAATTCTGCAAGCCCTAGTGCTGCTTCCTGTCTGTCAAGTGCTGCATCTGAGCTGTGCAGAGCCTCTGTTTCAACTGGTTCAATGTCTTCTGTGTGTAGCTCATAAATAACCTCTGTCTGTGCAGAATCTATGATCACAGTCTGGTTATCTTCACTTTGTTCTTCTATTCTGTTAACTTCCTTTCCAGCTGTTTTCTCTGCATCTGTGTTATTCCTGTCTTTATGTGCTGGGCTAGTCCTGTCTGAAATTTCTATGCTGACAATTTCGGTTTCAGGATTATTACCACCAACAGTTGAGGATATTATCTGTCCATCTACAACAGCACCATCCTGAACAATAACCTCATCAGACATCTCTACCAGTTCTTCAACTACAGTATTATTTTTTGTGAGCAAATCTTCGAAGTGAGATTTGTCTGCCCCTGAGCCGCCATCACCATCCGTATCAGGTGGCTTTAAATCTTCCAGGAGGCTGTTACGGATGGTGAACACTTTCTGATCCTCAATGTAGCTGTACACAGGGAAGACTTCTTTCACTGACTTGGCATCCACATTGTGAAACTTTCGAATGTGCACTAACAGAGTTCCACTCGTGTAGTAGGCCTGCAATAAAAACATTTATATATCAACGTATCATAACATCTGCTTTTTTCATGACTCATTCTTAAAACATTACTCTTTTGACACCAAGCAACATACTCTAAGATCAACAGCGATTCAGACAACAGGTTCGTTTTGTATATCTCAGCCAGTTGTTAAATAACAACACCCCCCCCCCCCCCCCCCCCCGTGTGGGTTCCGGGGCCCTATTGTGGGGAAAACAAGAACAGACCCACTGCCTCCCCAAAAGCATGTCGTAAGAGTCGACTAATTGGGGAGCTTCCTTTTAAGTCGGAGTGCATCTGCCGGAGAGGCAAGGAACCAACAGTCTGTATTCAAGAGAATGAGATCTGTAAAACTGATGCACAAGCAACACTCAGGTTCTGGAGCAGGACTGCAGTTCAGTAGACGAGCAACTAGAACCTTCTGCCAGAGTTTACAGCTGGTGAACGTGAAGAAGAAGAAGAATAACAACACCATTAATGTAATTACTCAGCTGTAATATTTCCAGTTTGTTTCTGTCTTGGCATCTGCTGCAAAGCATTCCAGTCTGAAAGAGTTATTCCTGTCTTATTCTGACAGTTTTTAGTTCAATTTAATTGTCACGTGCGACAGAAATAGTTAGTCCTGTCTTGTTCAGACAGTTTTTAGTTCAATTTAACTGTCATGTGGGACCGAAAAAGTTAAGTCTGTCTTATTTAGACAGTTACTATTTAAAAGTAACTGAATTAGACAGAACAAGTTAACATCTCAAACAATTTCTACTGAACACACATTTCTTGAACAATACTCTCTGACAGTCTTTTTAATCTACAGAGTTTGTTTATGTTTTTCTGCTGAACACATTTTCCTGGTTACAAACAGAATATTAAGTGTTTTATAATAACTGGTTTTCTAAAACCCAGTTGTCTCAAGGTGAAAAAATCCTCAGTGCCACCCATTCTGTTTCAAATGTTAAACTGTTAACTAATTAATTATGCATGTTGCACATAGCTGAAATAGTTTTGCATATATTTTACTTCCGACGATTGAAAACCTACCACCTTTTGTTTCACAATCCCTTCTGCTCTGTATAAAAACAACAATTTATAGGCAGTAGGAAATAACAAATAAAAAAGAGCAGGCTAAACAGACACTAACCAGGCTAATTTGTTTAAATCTTAAAATCCTTCTACTAAATTATTTATAGCTTGGAGGATCCTTCCAAGAGTAAATTCCGGAAACAAATTTGGGGTGCGGGAGAACTGATCAACTGTCTTCCTAACCAGCATGGTGTGAAAGGTGACTAAATAGGGGTTTGATAAAATCGAATGTGTTGAGCCGACAGGCTCAGATAACACAGCCTAGCTGTAAAGTCCCATATAATGTACCAGCAGCCCTTTTAAAGGGGGAACACAGAAGAAGACTCTGATACGCACTTGAGGTCCTCGGTGAGAGCAAAGTTCATGTACTGAGCTGAGATTTTTCTGCTGATGTGGTCTCAGAGAGAGGAGCGGCTGGTCGAGCAGTTACAACTCTCATGCGGGAGACCCAAGGAGTTTTTCTGTCAGGGGCAAAAATAAACAGCCTAACCAGCAATCCGTGGTGACAGCGCTAGCCATGTGACCCTAAATCCTCAGTCTCATGCCTCCTCCCTACCCCAATCCTGTCTACCCTGTTCTAGAAAGTGGCGAATACAGACAGCAGTGACAAATCTATGAGAGGAAATTAGATCAGTCACCGAAAGTCTGTGTATCAATGTAAATGGCCCATTACCAACCAGCAAGACAATGAATGCGACTACTTCCATCAATGACAAACTACATTTCTGGTGGTGATTGTTGTCTTGAGCCCCTCCAGCAACTAAAATATGCATTTACTGTGTGCACATAATTCTGGATTGTTCTGGGACTAGTTGTTTGTTCACCAGTTTTTCAAATGCAACAATGAGGGAGATTTCATTTGATTCACACTGGCACAGAAATGAAGCATGTTTGGGGAAACCTGACTGCAGTGATGTTAAAACCTCAACAAAGACTAGGCACTGAATGCATAAACATGTCAGCATAAATCTCACATTCTCACTTCAGCTAAAAAGTCAAAATGTAAAGGTCAGGTCAAGGACCCTTTTTTCATGCCACTAGCTCATTGGGTATGAGGTGCTAGACATATATTTTTATAGACCTAGTGGCATTTGAAGGGTGATATAGTCAACATTAAGTCAGCCGCCTTTACTTCTCAGAAGTTCACCTGGTACCCATTTTAGGCCGAGTTAACTTTGGAAACAAGTAATTTGTTTTTAAAATCTGATGCCACGCCCCCCCCCCCCCCCCAAGCTAACATGAAAACACTTATTTTCTGTGAGCTCAATTACCTTTGAACAAATTCGACATTTATAAGGCTTTTCTTTTGTGTGAGATCTAATATGGGACTGCAGTGATCCAGACTGAACAAAGGACTTGTAGCAAATGTTGCACTGAAATGGTCGTTCGTTAGTGTGTACTCGGCTGTGGCGGGCTAGCAGTGACTGGTTTTTGAACCTGGAATAAGAATGGCGGATAATCACATCAATTACAACACAAATCAGAAATAAACATTTCAAGAAAAAAAAGTCACCTTTGAAAGTGTGGCTGGCACTTTGTATTGTGGTTTACAGCTAGGCTGAAACAGCTTCACCTTTTGGCCCAACACATCCGACTTCAGTAATACTTCAGACAGTCACTTTTTATGAAATGCTTGTTTAACTATTGTGGAGTTAGAGGAGAGATAAGTTAGATATAAATCATCACATGCATACTTTGGTGCTGAAAAAGCTAAAAAAGGAGTAATGAAAAGGGGGGAAGGTTGGGGGGGGGGGGGGTATATATCCAAAACAGTGTCCCAAACCCGTACAAGGGAACTTTCCCAACATTGCAGACAACCTCATTTATTGGCTCTTTCTTGTTTTACTAGACAATTTTACATTCAGTAGTATGCATAGCTTTCTTTCTAAAATTACGAAGCTAATACTCAAAATTAACTTGAAACAGTTTGCTACCAAATTGTCTACAGCTGACTTTGAACCCTGATAAACAGAGGTGAGTGATAACCTCAGCAATGAACCTCATAGGTTCGGAATGCTGAAGAAGAAGAAGATATTGCAGGTACCTCATAGAACATCACTTCCATCACAAACTAAAGGCCTTTCTGTAGCTTGCCAGACCCAAGTTCATACCCAATATGTCTTCACTATCCTAGTTCCCCATTCTTCCTGATAAGCTTCTGCATCCAGGAACAATGGCTTCCATTTCTGTTCTGTCTAAACCACTAAAATGTTTAATATGGCTGACATATTTCTGTTTCCAAACACGTTTATGAGCCACTTTTAACTCTTTGAGTCCCACGGTGTTTAGTATCAGAGGCAAAAGGGGTATTCAAAAGAGACGTAAAATCGGCGCATCTTGCCTTCATTGGGCTTCTAGCTAGGAACTTACAAATGTATGATACATTCCTTGGGACTTAAAGAGTTAATCTGATGTTCATCAACAGGAACTTTGACCACAATATATGCATCTGACTGAAGTGGTCTTCTAAATATCCTTTGCCAATTTAACAATTCTACCAGTTCTAAACTGTGTAGTATTGATTTGAAACAGACAGCAGCCAGGGAAGGCAAATTAACAGGAATGTCTGCCAAAACAGGGTGCATACATCTTAAGACTTGGTGCAACTTAATTCTTTTCCTTCTGTTTTTCACAACTCTGGAGAGTAGACCTGGTGTCTAGTCTGCTAAGAAAAGGAAGAGCAGAAAGATGTCCATTATTCATGAGGCTTACGTTAAAACTATTGGCAATTATATAGAGCAGGCTGTGTAGGCCATTGTCCTGATAGAAAATATTTCCAAATGATAAAACTGCAACAATAGAAAATTGATAAGTGAAACTGAGATGAGACAACCATGGTCCAACAAATTTTTGTGCTGTGGATTGTAAAATATTCTTGCTTAGTTCCGAACAAACACAATAAAACTAAAACCCTCAAGAAAAACAAAACGATAGCTGTGACAGAATCTCTTCACAGATCATCCAATTTAGCAGTTGTGGCACTCATAAGAAAAGTAATAGCTCACTTACCACATACCACATTCTTCACATTGCCAAGTTTTATTGTGAGCATGCGTATGCTCGTGTTCGGCGACTTCATCTTTGTAGGCAAATCTCATCTTGCAGTAACGACACAGGTAAGGTTTCAAATGAGTGTGTGTCTTCAGATGGGATTTCAGCGTACTGTTCTGGCGAAACCCTCGCTGGCAAATGTGACAAACATTAGGCTTCTCTCCCGTATGAATACGCTGATGTTGCACTAAAGTTGCTGGCAGAAGACAAAAAGGATAAACTTTTGTATTGCTTTCATTATCGGGTCACACCTATGTCCTGGTTTTAAATGCCAGTCAAATTTATGTCTTGATTTTTTTTAGTAGGTCAAACTTTTGTCCTGGTTTCAGTATCAGGTCAAACTATTGTCCTTGTTCAATTAGCAGGTTAAACTTATGTTTTGATTTCATTAGCAGGTTCAACTTATGTCTTAATTTCATTAGCAGGTTCAACTACTGTCCTTGTTTCATTAGCAGGTTAAACTATTGTCCTTATTTCATAAGCAGGTTCAACTTATGTCTTAATTTCATTAGCAGGTTCAACTATTGCCCTTGTTTCATTAGAAGGTTCAACTATTGTCCTTGTTTCATTAGCAGGTTAAACTATTGTCTTTGTTTCATTAGCAGGTCAAACTATTGTCCTTGTTTCATTAGCAGGTTAAACCATTGTCCTTGTTTAATTAGCAGGTTCAACTATTGTCCTTGTTTCATTAGCAGGTTAAACTATTGTCCTTGTTTCATTAGCAGGATCAATTATTGTCCTTGTTTCATTAGCAGGTTAAACTTATTTCTTGATTTCATTAGCAGGATAAACTATTGTCCTTGTTTCATTAGCAGGTTAAACTATTGTCCTTGTTTCATTAGCAGGTTAAACTTATGTCTTGATTTAATTAGCAGGTTCAACCTTTGTCCTTGTTTCATTAGTAGGTTAAACTTATGTCTTAATTTCATTAGCTGGTTAAACTATTGTCCTTGTTTCATAAGCAGGTTAAACTATTGTCCTTGTTTCATTAGCAGGTTCAACTATTATCCTAGTTTCATTAGCAGGTCAAACTTATTACCTAATTTCATTAGCAGATTCAACTACTGTCCTTGTTTCATTAGCAGGTTACAGCAGGTCAAACTATTGTCCTTGTTTAATTAGCAGGTCAAACTTATGTCTTGATTTCATTAGCAGGTTCAACTATTGTCCTTATTTCATTAGCAGGTTAAACTTATGTCTTGATTTCATTAGCAGGTCAAACTATTGTGGTTGTTTCATTAGCAGGTTAAACTTATGTCTTGATTTTATTAGCAGATTAAACTTATGTCTTGATTTTACTAGCAGGTCAAATTTATGTCTTGATTTCATTAGCAGATTAAACTTATGTCTTGATTTCATTAGCAGGTTAAACTTATGTCTTGATTTCATTAGCAGATTAAACTTATGTCTTGATTTTACTAGCAGGTCAAATTTATGTCTTGATTTCATTAGCAGATTAAACTTATGTCTTGATTTTACTAGCAGGTCAAATTTATGTCTTGATTTCATTAGCAGGTCAAACTATTGTCTTTGTTTCACTGGCAGGTCAAACTCAAGTTTTATTCACATAAGACAAGAACAGCAAATTTTTAACAGAAAAGTAGCTAAATGTAATGGGAAAAAACTTGATGACACATTGCAGTGAATGCACACCAAGTGTTAGTAATCAAACTGAAATACTGATTACCACAAAAACAAAAAAGACAAAATAACTAGTGTTGTGCTCTCTCTCTCCCCACCCCCATCCCAAACACAAAGAGAAAGAGAGAGAGAGAGAGAGAGAGAGAGAGAGAGAGAGAGAGAGAGAGAGAGAGAGAGAGAGAGAGAGAGAGAGAGAGAGCAAAACACCACAATGAGACTTAGCAGCAATGGACGGAACTGAATGAGACGTGAGTGGAGAAAACAGTTTTGAACAAATTTACATTGAAGAATGTCATGTATCAAAGGTATTTATAAATGTAAAGGGACCTTTTCCTCGCATTCAGGCGTACTGGGCATATAGGGCTGTAACTATACTTATAGACCAACTGGCACCGGGTGAGTGATGGGGTCAACATTACGCTGACCACCTTTACTTCCCAGGATTTTACCTAGTACCCACGTAAGGCTGGGCTGACTGGGAAGCCAAGGCCTTTTTTGTTTTTCAAAGTCTGGCTTCATCAGGATCTGAGCCCACGACCTCCGGATCCGCAGGCGACCGTCTAGTGTTTCACCATGGTGGCTTCCATCATTTATCAATGTGCTAAGATTTTAATCCTCTCATCTTAAGAAGCCCAAAACTCTGTGCTACAGCCGAATAAATGTCCCTTTCCCAAACTGATTACAAGGCAATAGCACTACATCAGTTTTTTCACTGGGCAACTGTTTAAACTGACTGGTAATGAACAGTTGCTAAAGATTCCCTGTAGAAAATGGCTTTTTTTTTTAAATATAGAAAAATATTTATATATCTAAAATAGAACATGAGAATTTTAGGTCACTTACAGAGGTAACTGGCAGCCAGGTCACGGGGACACAAACAAATCACGGAGAACATTTTTTTCAAGCTGAAAGTCAACTCCCTGCCCCATTCGTGTTTACTGACTACTCTTATTATATTGCACACAATTAAATAATGTTTCAGCCCACAATGGACGCGTAATGATTTTTGAGTGCGACATGGGAAGAAAACAATTTACAGAAAGGTTTCCCCTGGAAAATCTGAAATTCCAAAAATACAGGTCTTTGGCATTATTATTTTTAGGTCATATGGGTGAAAGGGTTAAAACATAATGTAAACTAGTTACGTTTGGTTTTGTAAAAGATCATCATTGCGCATTACATCCCTGTTAATGCTTTCATTTCTTTCTCTCTCCCATAGATTATACAATGAGAATCAAAGCAAGATAGTAAGAGATGGAACAAGATTCTATAAGATGTACAAAACAAGACCCCGTGCGGGTTCAAGGGCCCCAACTAGAGGGGGAGGGAAGGGGGGAATAAGAACAGACCCAATGTCTCCCCAACAAGCATGTCGTAGGAATTGACTAACTTTGGACATGCTTTGAAGTCAGAGTGCATCTGCCTGAGAGGCAAGGAACTAACAGTCTGCACACAAATAAGCAAGATCTGTAAAATGGATGTGCACCCAACACTCTGGTTCTGGAACAAAATAAAAGTCCAGAGGTTGGTGAACAACCAGAACTTTCTATCCGAGTTTACAGACAGTTAACACGAAGAAGAAGAGGAAGAAGATCCTTAGAGATAACAACAAAATAAAACCAAACCAAACAGCTTGGGATGTAGATATTAACAAATGCCAATATTTCAAAGAAAGAGAAGTACAAGCAAAGATAAGATTAAATCATAAGACAATGCAAAAATAACTTTCCTGCATCTCCTTCACTTACATTTGAGAGAAAAATGTCTATGGCAGAACACACAAGTATACGGTTTCTGTCCTGTGTGAATGCGCGAATGGACCAGCAGAGTCTGCTTCTGCTTAAACACTTTAGTACAGATATCACAGGCAAAAAGTTTTGGAGGCTGATGGTTCATCCTACAAATTCAATACAAAAACAAATTATTACTATATCATGAATAATTATAAAAGTCACAGCTAAAGAAAGACAGGATATTTTTCAGAGATTAAAAACCAACTATAAAGGTGGCAAAAAGATTTCAGACTGTGTCTCATCAAGTATTACATTCCAAGCCCAAAGGAGAAAATAGTGTATTTCAAAGGCTTGTTTTTTTAAGTGGATTAAAATAAAGATTTGGAGACCATGCATATCTCTCCTGGCAACTTATGGATGTGAATCATGGACTCTTACTCAATCAATGAAGAAAAAATAGGAGCTTCTGAATGTAAATGCTACAGAAAAATTCTTAGAATATAATGGAGTAAGAAGCAGAAAAGCATCGACATCCTACATGGTTTGAACATCGAGGAAAATGGCTGATTAACAGCATCCTGTCCCAAAAAGCGGAGGTATTCTGACCATGTCAAATTTTATGATGGCCCAGAGAGAGTGATGATGGATGGTAGTTTCCAGAAAATGAAGCAGAGGCAGACCTTTGTGAAGGACATTGGAGATGCACTGGCTAAGAAAGCACATAGGGCTGAAGAATTGGCTAGAGAAAGAGAGATGCTTAGGTGTGTCATGACAAGAGCGACTTTCTGTAAAGGACCTGCTGACTAATGCTCACCATTTGAAATGCTACTGTTCAAACCTACTACACGGTAATTTGTTAAACATTTAAAAATGACACAAGAAATCTTGCTTGTTCTTCAGCATTCTCAGCTCTTGAGATTCACTGTTGCAGAGTGACTCCAAGTGTCTGAAGGTCTGCCTGTTTACTATTTCTTCACCACCTTAGGGTCTGCATAGTTATCTACTTCCATTGAACTCTTTTGTGTGTACATCATGCCCGGCTCTTTAGCGTAGTTGGCTAAACCGGATGCGTGGAGACCGGGTGACGGACTCCTTGTGGTCTGGGTTCAATCCCGGGGGTAGGCAGGAAAGCCACATTTCTCCCAGATTTACGGTATTTACAATGGAATCAAGGGCGAAAGGTTGCAATATTCATAATACCGAGCCTAAGAGTTAACAACTCTTCTGGATACTAAAACAAACAAACAAACGTGTGTACACCATAGATCCATCGCAGGGTTGCACTTAAATGGTAGGTGATCTTGTAGTTTGTTCTTCTTCTTGTTCACCGGCTGTGAATTCCGGCGGTAAGTCGCGGTTGTTCGTCCAAAATGGACTTTTGGCTTTTACCTTGACCTGAGTTTTGCGTGTACATCCGTTTTACTGGCTTATTTGTTCGCAGTTCTCGTTCCCCGCCTCTCCGGCAGATGTACTCCGACTTCGGAGGAAATCTTGTAGTTTGTTTGGGTTCCAGGGCAGGCACACTCTAGTTATATTATTATCAGATTCTCTCACCCTATGCACCAACATTTTTTCCCCACCTCTTGATATCACTGAAATTTGTTTAGTTCTCTCCCGAAGATTCACATTAGTGTTTCTGCAGCAAGTGGGGTACTGATGGCAAATTCACAGTGATTGATGATCACCACAACAGGACAAAAGCCATTATTTATCTGGTTATACTTTGGGAAGGGAAGGTCTGGACAAAACTGTAACAATTAAAAAGTTAATTGATTTTTCCTTAACAGGACACTGCGAGTCAACTTTTTATTGACTGTTTATGAGTTTTCTAGCCACTTATATGTTCAGTAATTTGCAGTAATTGCCACTGATATATGAACAGCCGACTCTCCACTTTATTGTTGAAATCAATGCAAACTAGCAAAATCATCTGAAACTGAATCAAACTGGTTATTTCAGAATTGTGAAATGTGTCCCCCCCCCCCCCCCCCCCAAGGCAATCAGGGAGATGCTAAATTAGAAAGTAGGTGGGGAGGGGGGGGGGGGGGGGGGGGGGTATTAACGATTGAGGATGACAAGGACAAAAAATGCTGGATGGAGTGACAGAGTGGAACAGAATATCAACTGTGGTGAACACACAGTTGCAGATGTACATAATTCAGTGAGCCACCTCTAGTGTGGCATTTGATGATGATAATGTAAACAGCTTAATATGTCAATGAAATATGGAAAATAACTTTCACACGTCAAAACAAACTGAATTTGCTAACCTGTGTTTCCGAAGATCCCACAGTGAATAATATGTATCTCCGCAGATGGTGCACTTAAATGGTTTCTCGCACGAATGCATTTTGAGGTGGCGGTTCAGTGCATTCTTGTAGAAGAAAACCCTGTTAAAATTATATTCAGGTAAATTTATCACGTAATATTCAGCATAAGAAATGATAAATATTGCTGGAATCTCAACGTGTCTACTTCTCCACTTTCAGCTGCAAACAGTGGCAGAAAGTTGTGGATATTCATCCACTTCTAAGCTCTAGTCCTGTTCCAGAACCTGAGCGTTGCATGCAGACTGTTGGTTTCTTGCCTCTCCGGTAGATGCATTCCGAGTTTGAAGGAAGCTCCAAATTAGCTGACTCTTACGACATGCTTTCGGGTAGGCACTGGGTCTATTCTTGTTTTGCCCCACAATAGGGCCGTGGAAACCTCATGGGGAATCTCAATGTCTGAAGAAGCAAGACTGCCCGTCGCAAGCACTTGATGATGATAATGATGATGAGGGGGAAAAATTATTAACCCCCCCCCCCCCCCCCCATTTAGCCAAAATATTTCAACTCAATGTATTCTCAATTCTCCAGTCCTCAAACAGCAAAATAATGTTAAAGAAAAAGACGAAGATAATTTTTATGTCTAAAGCTTATTTCACGGTTTCAGATTGAAAATAATAATAATCTTGCATGAATTTTATGTCACGAAGATAATTTTTATGTCTAAAGCTTATTTCACGGTTTCAGATTGAAAATAATAATAATCTTGCATGCATTTTATGTCACAAAGATAATTTTTATGTCTAAAGCTTATTTCACGGTTTCAGTCAGATTAAAAATAATAATAATAATCTTGCATGAATTTTATGTCACGGAGATAATTTTTATGTCTAAAGCTTAGCCCGGCTCTCTAGCGAAGTTGGTTAAAACCTGACTTTCGCGGCGGCCGGGTGACGAACTCCTTGTGGTCCGGGTTCACTCCCGGGGGTAGGCAGAAAAGCCACATTTCTCCCAGATTAACGGTACCTATAATGGAATCAGTGCCGAAGGGTTGCGATATCCATAGTACCGAGCCAAAGGGTTTACAACTCATGGTTTCTGGATACGTTAAAAAAAAAAAAAAAAAAAAAAAATGTCTAAAGCTTATTTCACGGTTTCAGATTAAAAATAATAATAATCTTGCATGAATTTTATGTCAGGAAGATAATTTTTATGTCTAAAGCTCATTTCACGGTTTCAGATTAAAAATAATAATAATCTTGCATGAATTTTATGTCACGAAGATAATTTTTATGTCTAAAGCTTATTTCACGGTTTCAGATTAAAAATAATAATAATCTTGCATGAATTTTGTGTCACTATTTCCACATCAGATGTGAAAATAAGAAAGGTAAAGAATCCAATTACCAAGCAATCACAGCACAGTGGGCTGACTTCATAAAGTGGAGATTTGAATACAGAAATTACATCAGAAAATACATTACTATAGTCAAGCAATGCTGGGTTTAGGCATCAGGTAACTAAGCTGCAGCTTAGGGCCTCACAATCTGCAGGGGCCTTAACAAACTCCAGTTTTCTGTTCACAACAGCAATTTTCTTTCAATAGAATCTTTAAGATGATTATTTAATTTACGTAATTTTTCAGACATATTCTTTTTTTTTTTAATACTTCTTTTACTAAAATTGAAGAACAATATTTTTTATCATCCATATATTTTAAAGGCGCATATTTATTTTAGTTTTCTGAGATTAGCTAAGATAGCCAAGGAACCTTCCTTCATATAGCAGGTCTACAGGCGGCTGACAAAGGATCAAGTTCGGACTTTTTGTTTCTCACAAACTGGAATTGGAACTGAGATTAGCTGGTGTCACTTGAAACAGTCGGAGCCTCAGTGCTTTATATAGCTTAGGGCCTCATCAAGTCTATCTCAGAGCGTTGCAGCCACAAAGGGGCAATATGAACCAAGAAACATTTACGACCCATTCCCACAATGGGCTGCAGGGCTAGCCTAAGATAACTGTTGTTGGAAGTTTGGAAACAGTGTGCCTAGTCCGGCAAATGGACAACGCTTTATTTAGAGCTTGTAGAAAAATGTCTGACCATGTAACAAGACTGGCAACAGACAGACAGTTAGTTAGTTAGTCAATGGACAGATTATCCTCACTGCACATCAGACAAGTCCATAAGTGCTCGGATCCCATCTTTAGTATAACCCTCAGTGCGTGGCGACTGATAACACCAGTTCTGTGTTCGTTTACTATTTTTCATTGACTACCTGAATCATCTTTTTGTCCTGCCTCCCTGAGAGCATTGAGAATGTCGGCCCAGTCCATTGCTTTAGAGAGCAATGTTATACAGATACTGCGGTAACAGATTAAGAAGGTCAACCGCGCAGAAGTTGGACAGCGGAAATATAAACACTGAGAAGTACTATATACAAAGCGAACTGAAGGGCCCGTTCCAGAGATCTTTTCCTGGCCTAACGCTGCTAGGCATTCCATGAGTATAGACAAGAAGAAAGAAGAAGAAGATACAGTTAAATGTTGTTCTGGGATTTGCACCCATTATATTCTAATCCTTAAAGTGTTAATGCAACGAGCAATCCTGGAGGGGAACAATGACTATCAAGCTGAGATCAATCATCATCTCGTATGTCAACCTTCCAACTAGTCACAAAGATACCCAACCCGATCATTCCATTCCCAAATTATTTGTCTTATGCAGTTTTCTTTAATTCCATGTATTTCTGCTATTATATGTCTGCTTTATAAATGTTTTCCCTTAAATTATTTCTTTACCTCTTTGTACTACTTAACTCATTCAGTACAAAATCAATTAACCGACTGTTCCTTAAAAACATTTGGTTTTAATTGAACTGTTATAATAAACAATGCTATCCCAAATATTACCCTAACTCCTTTTTTTCACTTATTGTTATTATTTTGACCCCTTTAGATCTATACATCAATTACTATAGGTAACAAATAATTAGGATTCAATGAGTTAAAGAGATCCCTGCCTGATACCAAAAAGGTTCAATGATAATCTTGTAGAGAACAAGCACTTTCTTAGAGTGACCCTCAGGCTGACAAGAGCAGACAACCCATTGGCAACGGATTAACATAATCAACACGACTTAATTTTCTTTGCCACATACTTTCTAGAACTTTTTCATCTGTCAATTTTCAATTAAGCCAGTTTTTGTCATGGGGTAACCCTCCGTCCAGTTTCATTCATGGCAGAGGAAAAAGTTGAATAATTAAAAACCGAAACCTACTTTTTGCAAGACGAGCACTGGTATTTGGTTACAGTATTGTGTACACGCATATGGGCTTTCATGGCAATTTTCTTGTGGAATGTTCGGCGGCAGATGCTGCACTCCCATGGCAATCCTCCAGGATGGACCTCAGTATGGTGGGTTCTCAAATCCTTATTTGACAGGAAATTGTCCATGCAAAGTGTGCACTTATAAGGTCCAGGAGTCACCCTGAGAACAAAACAAAAGCAAGCATGTGTTAGTTCTTGAACTGCAACAAACCTTTTTAGCAGACTAAGCTGAAAGCATACTACAATGAAGATAAATATTCAGTAGAAAGCGTGCAACACTAGATTCTGATGGGGTTAAATCACCAGTTTTACAACTTTTTCAGGTGCCCTCTGTGCCCATTCTAAAAACAAAAAGTTATTAAAAAGAGGACAAAAAGAAAAATGCAAGCACTAATAGAGAACTTTGAGAAAAACAACCACAGAAATCAGTGTCAAACAATATAACTCCTTCCGTTTAAAAAATATTTTATTCATTACTAAACTGAAAGAAAATCGTCAGTATAACAAATTATTATAGTACTCAATTTCAAATTGCTTGACGCCCCCTTTCATGACCCCCCCCCCCCCCCCTCATATGCTCAGATCAGACCATCAGGTGGGCTGCCTCTATGAACTCGCACGTCAGTAGCAGGTCTTTTATGGTTTCCCATAGCTTGCTCTGCACACTTTGCTCTTGAGGCCAGGTATCTTTTCAAAGTTGTAGGTAGAGTGGGCAGGTTTGCAGAATGCGCTCAGGTGTTTGTGGTCCTGTTTGACAGGCACACTGTGGGGACTCTACAATCTTTATATTATGCATGTGGTAGTTGAGCTTGAAGTGTCCTGTTCATAGACGTAAAACTGTTGTATGTTGCTTTCTGTTGAGTCTGCCGATGAGGTCTTGTGGATGTTTACTGTTAGTTTTTTCTCTCCACAATTCCTTGTAATTTTTTCTTTGATAAGTGTTTTGATTTCTGGTAATGACAATGAATGGGCGTGTTGTTTCTTATTTGTTCCTTTTTTTTTTGCAAGTCTGTCTGCTAACTCATTTCCTGGTATGCCGCAGTGAGCCGGGATGCAATGGAGAACGTTGTCTCGTGGATCCCTCCGAGTCACCTGGAGGACTGACATGCAGTCACAAAGGAAAACAATTTTGCTGTTTTTAATGTTTCTTTCCACTGGATAAAACAATCACTGAGTTGATATCTTTGTGCAGGTGTGTGCATAAAGTAGAAGAACTAGCAAAAGACCAAGTTTCTTTAACAAGGACTTTGATGAGATCGACGTTGGGTAAAAGACCTGCTACATGATGATGATGATCAGCTAATATTTGTTGAAAGATCCCTGCTTCAAAAGTTTACATCTGTGATCTGCAGAACACTTCAGAAATCCCTACGAGCATGGGTTTATTTCCTCCTTCCCCTGCTGAGAAGTCCAGATTAAAATCTTTATATTTTCTGATGTTCAACTCTTTCGGTACCTGAAGGTACATCAGATACAAAAGTGGGTTTTGGGGGTTTGGGGTCCCATTTTGGGTTAAGAAGAATGGACACACTTTTCCTTAATAAATGTGTCGTAGAAGGCGACTAAAGATTTGCTAAAAAAGGATGTGTTGGACTAAAAGGCACAGATATCACAGCCTTGTGTAAACCAAAACACAGTGTGCCAGTGGCCCTTTTAAGAGCAAACAAAGAATAAGAAATAGAAACAACAGGGGTTCATTTTAGGTTTTACGAAAGATAATTACTACCCTTGCAATTCGTGCCTCTTCGGATCGTAGGATCTCTCCTATGTTGCTCGGGTGTCACGATATGGCTTGGTTTGACATTGGTTCGGCATATATAATGTTTGTGGGAGATTGTGGTGTTGTGAGTCTATTTCAGGTGCCACAGGTGCCTGCGTACAAGTAAGAAGTACTGCAGGAGGGACACTGCAGGAGCAGTGATTCTTGAGTATTGAAACTGGGATGTTTTTGTATTTCTACATTCGTTGGCGGTGGCTTCTCAAAAGAAAGAAAGCACTTACAAGGTACATAGGAATCAAAAATCTCTCTGTGAACTACTGAACCATCATGCAGGTAGCAGAACGTGAAAATAATCCTGCAAGCGAGAGGTGAGAAGACGAGAAAAGTGGGGACGATTAAGGCATTGACAATAAGGAAAACATGACACCCTCCCAACATAGGCCGGAAAATGTAAAATGAACCCAACAGTGACAAGGAGATTAAACACTGTGATACAATCAAGTTGTTTGAAATAACAATGAAGCTTAATAAATTAATAAGTTATATACAGTGCAGTCCGCTTAAGTTGATCTTGGATGTGGCAAACTTCTATTATGAAGAACAATTTGTTTATTCCCAGTAATTTTTCTTGCTTGAAATCTTATCTGGATAAGAAGAATTTCTGAATAGAAGAAATATTTCTTGGGTCTCCAGTGAGTTTTCTTTATCAGGTTTGCACTGCATTCATTATTTGCTGTGCATGGAAAAAGCCGAGTTACTCTTCATTTGAAATACTAACTTGCTCTGCATCTGGTACCTGTGAGCCAGTTTATGGCGGCTCAGATCCTCCTGTGAAATAAATTCTCTGCCACACCAGCACTGACAGATGGCAAGGGCTGTCACTCCAGTATCTTCAACTTCCAACAAAGTGCTGGATCTAGTCAGTGGAAACAGACAACAACATCAACACATGATGCGTATCTTTACAACAGATTCACTTTATTAATGCACAGGATAAAGGCAACAATAAATGACTAGTCACTATTGTGACCATAAGGGAGCTGAAGTAGAATGGTGGCTATGATCTTGCCCGTTGGCTCGCAGGTATTTTTTTTTCAGATTTGGCTTATTTGGGTGCAGACTGTTTCCTTGCCTCTCAGGCAGATGCACTCTAACTTTCAAGAAAACATCCCTAATTAGATTATCCTGGGCGTGCTCATGGGGGAAGCAGTGGGTCTGTTCTAGTACCACCCCCCCCCCCCCCCCCCCACCCCCACCCCCCACACCGAACCCACATGAGGCCTGCAGGTTTTAAGTTTCAATCTTCATCGAGCTGGATTTTTCAAAACTAACCTTGGCGCCCAGGTCAACCAAGTTTAAAACTGGTACCAGGTAATGTCATGGGAAGTAAAGGTTGTCGTTATTTGCATGCAGACTACGTCATTCACTGGGTGTCAATTTGTCTATAACAATACAAGTCTAGCATCACATACCTGGTGCGCCACAAGCTTGAAAAGGTTCCATTACTTTCACACATGATGTGACCATAGTTAGTGGGTTCATAAGGGAAGCAAAGAACAATAATACTGTAACTAACATGGAGTTTCTTCTTCTTCTTTGAGTTTACCAGCTATAAACTCTGGCTGAAAGTTCTGGTTATCTCACTGTCTCCACTGCTCCTTGGGGTATACTGTCTGTTGACCGCCAAGTTAAGTTGCTGAACCATTTCAGTTGCTTTCTAATAAAATATAACACAGCTACTAATATTCTTGAATAAAGCAGTCGGAGCAGATATCCACTGCAGAAAACCTCTATTGTAAAGTGAAGGACACATTTCCACGTCTTCAGGCGAATTGGGCAAATAGTGCTAGATCTAGACCAAAAAATACCCGATGTGTGATGTGATCAACTTCCCAGGAACCCATTTAAGGGGAGTCATTCTGGAAGCTGAGATCATTTTTGAAACTCCGGCTTAGTTTGAATTTGAACCCATGAGACTATGTGATCTGCAAGGCAAGCATCTAGCTACTACACCACTGGGGCTCCCTACCTCTACTGCACAGAAGAAAAAAAACCAAACCCCAAACTAACATGGATGATGTAAGTGATGTCTATAGGGCTCACCCCAAACAAAGCAGCTACAAAACTACACCAATCATGACCAAACATAAAAGTAACAAAGTCAAAGTTCAGGTGACCAAATACCTACCAAATAAATTGACAACTTTGCATCAGAGCAGGGCAGGGTACTCACTTATACTAACAGCCAGAAACTTATGTCAAAGGGAAAAGCCATGAAGCAGTCCTGTATCTGCACAATTCATTGAAAAACTATCAAATCCTTTTACAGGAAAACTATCACATTATTTCCCAAGAAAAGTTAATGGGCAGATTATAAATATTGAATGGAAGATATACATATTCAGAAAGGTCATACTAGTGCTTAGACTGCATAACCTGACCCAACATGACAGATCATATTACAGTACATGTTCAGAAAGTTCATACTAATGCTTAGACTGCATAACCTGACCCAACATGACAGATCATATTACTGTACATGTTCAGAAAGTTCATACTAATGCTTAGACTGCATAACCTGACCCAACATGACAGATCATATTACAGTACATGTTCAGAAAGTTCATATTAATGCTTAGACTGCATAACCTGACCCAACATGACAGATCATATTACAGTACATGTTCAGAAAGTTCATACTAATTCTTAGACTGCACAACCTGACGCAACATGACAGATCATACTAGTGTTTAGACTGCATAACCTGACCCGACATGACAGATCATATTACAGTACATGTTCAGAAAGGTCATACTAATGCTTAGACTGCATAACCTGACCCAACATGACAGATCATATTACAGTACATGTTCAGAAAGTTCATACTAATTCTTAGACTGCACAACCTGACGCAACATGACAGATCATACTAGTGTTTAGACTGCATAACCTGACCCGACATGACAGATCATATTACAGTACATGTTCAGAAAGGTCATACTAATGCTTAGACTGCATAACCTGACCCAACATGACAGATCATATTACAGTACATGTTCAGAAAGTTCATACTAATGCTTAGACTGCATAACCTGACCCAACATGACAGATCATACTACAGTTTGTTACCTCATCTGGCTAATGGGGATCATTGTTCCGGTCTCATCCATGATGTAGGTAGCTGTGTTCTGATCTGAAGACAGCTGCAGCAGAGCTTCAGCGGATGTGTTCTGCAGAGGCAATTTTTTTTTTTTAAAGCCAAGCAAGATAAATTAACAGTGAACCAATGTCATATATATTCTGAGGTAGGATTTTAATTTGTTTAATGACACACATACATTTGAGAAAACCTGAGAATGTGACTAGGAGGGCTTTACACTGGAATCCCTGGGGCACAGAAACAAAAAGTAAATTATTTAAGGCAAACTGGACATATAGGACTAGACCTATATTTTACAGACCAATCGACACTTGGTGGGTGATGTGGTCAGCATCATGCCGGCCACCTTTACTTCCCAGGATTCCCCCCTGGTACCCATTCAAGGCTAGGGTGACCCAGGAACCAAAATCATTTTTTTGGAGAAAAAAAAGACTGGTCCTGCCAGGACACAAACCCACGACCTTCGGATTCGCAGGTGAGCATCTAGCTGCTACACCATGGCAGCTTTAGAAATAAAAGCAGATGACAAACACACAAAAACCACATAAGGAGAATGGAGCTAGACAATTAATTTAAAAAGATGGGGAGGACATGGGGAGAGCTTCTTGAGATAGCAAAGGATAGGACATCTTGGCATGAGTTAGTTGAGAGCCTATGCTCCACTGAGGGAATAAAAGGCAGATGAAAAAGAAGAAGTGACATATTTTCTAATCAGTTAAAACATCTTTGATGAGGAAATATGATACATACATTTAGCTGTGGTTACATAATGCTGAAAACAAACTGAGAGAGGAAAAACCTCAAGGCTAAATATACTTTACTGGAAAACTATTTAAAAAAATGGTCTTTGAAAGTATAGACACTGTGTGTGCTGACTAAAAGCAATCCATTAAAAAGGTTTGTCATGCCGTAACATGATAGCGAACAACAAAGAAACAAATACAAGCCTAAAAAAGGGTACTGTAGGATTTATAAATGACAAAATACATCATTTTACTTTATCTGTACCAAGATAAAGATCATTTGTGATCAGCTGCTGACTATATATCAAACAATGAACAGTGTGTAAATTTTACCTTTTGTGTCTGGTCAGCATTTTAAAGAAATCTGGCTAGATATTTTAATATGCACAATATCATGTTAAATATTCTTGTGGCTTTTGGTGCAGGAGATGCACCATGTAAGAGACTGGGGCATTAGATGCTCACATCTACTGCAACCACCCTTCATTGTGGAGATACACACACATACATAAATATGTGCTACTTTGAAACCTACTTGTTGTGAAGTGATCCAACCCACCCCTACACATTCGACTATACATGACATTAACGCCCCTAGCGGGCAGGTCACATTTCAAATATAGACCCGTCCGGTGGGTATATAAGTAAAAAAAAAAAGTAAAGTTCCCTTTTCACGCCTTTCGGCGCATCGGGCATATGGGCAGAGCGTCCCATATTTTTACAGACCATCAGCACTCTGTGGGTAATGTGGTCAGCATTACGCCGGCTGTCTTTACTTTCCCAGGACAGCCCATCCTGGTACCCATTTTAGGCTGGGTCGACCTGCGACGTCCCATACCACGATAAAAGTCCACGCAGCCTGCAGTGGGTTTCGATCGCGGTATGCTGGCTTACGAGTCAGACTCGCAGGTGGGTATATAGTCCCTCATAACTATTTATACCTTTATCTGGCGTAATAGGTATTTCTATAGACTTTAGATGTCTGGTGAAGTTTACATTTTCAAACTTACAGTTGATGGATAGATATATTCTGGATTAATATTCAGAATTCCGAGTAGCCTTTTTACTCCTAGGCGCACGAATCTTGCGCTTCTTTCTGGGGACGCGACACAAAATCGTCCCGCCTCATTCCCTGCCAGACTTTCAGGGCGATAGGAAGTGTTTCACCTCTTTGGTTAAATTTTTGCTCGTACCAAATACCAATTTAATCTTTGGAGGAATCCTGAGCTTGGGTAAGTTGATTATAGTTTACGAGTACCATGATATATGTCTCTATAAAGTTAACCTGCTGCTGCAGGGAGGAAAGATGCAACTATGAGACAGTGAAGAACGAGACCGTTCTTGGTGTCCAAGTGCCCACAGCCACCTCAATCATAACTTCCCCTTTTCTAGCATAGAGTTGGTACCCTAACTAACCCAATATTAATGTCAATATATTAATCTAGCAGGCGAATCGTTCTCTAACTTACTAGTAGAGATCAGGTGGATATTTAAGCAGGCAGATTTAATCGAGTCAAACCACCGCTTCAACGCACAGCAAAGAAACGCAGTGACATGAGAGGTTATGTTTAGCAGACACAACACAACACAGGGTCAACTCAGGTCAAGCAGTGGGATAAAATATATGATAATATATAGGTGAGAAAGAGATGGGATGTGTGTCTACAAGTGCAGATGTGAATGTGGAGAGATGATGGTCTATGTATACTAGAGTCTATCTATTTCCACTGTGGAACTTGTCTCCTATCTCTTGTACTGATTGACAGACAGAGATCATGAAGAATGAACTGTCTCATTATCCTGAGAGCTGTCCTCTGAGTGACTGAGAAGGGTGGAAGGTAATAAATTGAGCTAGGCATGTGACTCCTGAGATGAATACTAATTCTAGGTTCCCTCTTGACACAAGATGATACCTCCCTGGAAGTCAGGCAGACAATCAGCAGTCTAACCAACCACCATCCACTAAGGTTACCCACCACCACAACTCCAACATGGCAGGAGCTTGTTTGGGCTCCAGTGGATAAGAGACAGTTGTTGCAGGCCACCCATTTGTCATCCATCAAGGAGAACCTTCCTCAGGAGCTTTGTCAAGCTCCAGTGTATGAACTCTGTCTGTGTCTCTGGCTGATTCAGCAGTAATACTTGGGCTTTAACTCCTGAACTCCATTTTCCTGTAAACACCTTTGCTAAGTCTTAATGATATATATATGTGTTGCATTTATTACATGCCTTTGGAAGTTTTCATTATTGACTTGGGTGTCCATCATTCACTGTTCAAACTGTCTAGAATTTCTATATGTTTAACCATTAATCTTAATCTGCGTTAACATGGCTGTGGTATTACAATATCATAGCCTGGGGTCTATCTTCTTATAGTAGCGGGGACGTCCAGCCAAGTTGCGCCTAGGAATATTATATATTCTGTAGTGCCATAGCTTGAGTTGCCCTGCTCCTGAAATAGGTTGGGTGTATATAGGCCACGGGATATTTTTAGACCAATACGAGCCGACACCTCAACATTATTCTATTTCAGAGTGCTGTTGGTTCTTAAGGAGAAATCCTTAAAACAGGCACTACTCATACTAATTCAGAATAATTTTTTTTTCTACAGTCATATCTGGACAACCAATCCAGCACTATCTCCTGCTGTCTTCAACCTTTCTAGTTCTCAAGAGTGTTATCCAGACACCCTTTTCATTTAAAGTAACCAGTATCAATACTAACTGCAGTAAAAGGGCAAAAAGTAGAGGGCCTGCATGACCAATTTGTGACCTTTTTTTTTAAAAAGCAAAAGCTGGTTTGTTTGTTCAGTATAATCATTGTCCCTTTGGGCATCAGTTGTGAAATCTAGAACTGAAAGTGTTTAAGAGTTTCTAAAAGTAAAACCAATTCTCATAGATCAAGCAGCAAAGAAAGCATTGCATGAAAATGACATATGAAGATTTCTGAGAAGAAGAGAAGCATCAAACAGGCATTAAAACAGGAAATAGATGGATTGAGGAAATGGAGGAGCAGACAATGGGCCCTTTGTGACATATAAGGATTTGCCAGGATGAAGATGGTGATATATGAAGAATCATACCTCTTCCTGCTCACTCATGACATGCTCCGTGTGTCGGTGTGCTGCCAGAATGTCTGACACCTGAACATGGCTGTCATCAGCTTGAGACTTGGCCAACCCCAGTAAGGTATTTGCCGACTGTGACACTGACTGGCTAGTAACCAGAGCAACCTCTGTGACATTGTCATTTCCAATGACAATGTCATGGCCACTGTGTATGTGAGCAGTACCGGGTATATGGTCTCCATGGTCTGATGATTCTATCACCTGATGGCATATAAATGATACAAATCATGAATTAGTACAATAACAAATGTGCAATGTAATATCTAAAATAGTTATATATCTGTTGAGTCGAGAGGTAGCAAATAAGGTCAATACAGACCCAGAAGGACAATGAGGGCAGGGAACAGAAACTATATAGGGGGCCTGTTGTATGGGTCATTCTAGCCTGCCTGTGGTGCTCAGTTGTCCTTTTACTTAAAGCCTTGTAGATCGCAGCCCCTCTTCGAATAGACTGTTACCATGTAGTTCGGTTTTGTGCAGTAGCCTTCCAAGTGTCAGTGTATATTAAAGGCTTTAAGTGGCACCTTTAGCGTGTCCTTCAAGTTTAGTTTTTTTTCTGGTTACCATGACAGCGTCTACCTTCCTGTATCTCACTACACAAAATTATTTTTGGGAGTTGATGGTCCGACAAGTAGACGATGTGACCTGCCCATTGAATCTGTGATGGCATCAGGACGGTATCGATGCTGGAAATGCCAGCTCTATCCAATACAACAGTATCCGCGACCATGTCTTGCCACATGATTTTCTGTATTTTTCTTGGACATACTGTATGAAAGTGGTTGAGCTTCTCTGCATGACATCTGTATACAGTACATGTTTCACAAGCATACAGCAGCACTAACCTATGCTTATTGCTTCGCCACTCATCCATCACCACAGGACTTGGTAAGTCAGTGGATGAATTATGAATAAAGTGATGAAAGAGTGACTTCCACAATGAATTGGTTTAAAGCGAGGAAGAGTTGTGCAATATCATCAATCTCCGTCTCTCACCCATGTCCATCTGGATCCAGTGGCAGGACAAGTGGAGTTGACTGGAGATGAAGTCAGGTGCAGTGGATGACCAGGGGGTCACTATGTGCCTCGCCGTGCTCTTCGCACCCCACAACAAGTTGCTGGTACTCACCATCAGGTCTGAAGTACCATCGCCTACTCTTTCTTGTGAAGTAACCAGAAACTGATGATAATCTTGTCTGGATATGGATATTCACATGCATGCCTTTGTGAATCGGCTTCCTTCATTAGAGGAAACTTACCTAACTGAGCTAAACATTGGATTCCTGATGGTCTATCAAGAAGGCATATCTGTGCTGCCTGTAATTCTATTTTCTCACCTTGATATTCATGGTCACTGATTCATAAGTATACAGCTAAATGGGCATTGTAACATCATCATTTATCCTAGTAATGTAATTTGCACTGCGCCTGTTTACAGCATAGCTGAGATATATTTGTGCCTTTTGGTCAAAACATCAAGCTTCATTGGGCATTTGTTCAACAGGTCATGATGTAACATTTTTCATGGACCAATATAAACAGCACTATAAATACCGTGTAACAGAATATATAAATTATAATTTTATCATGCAAGCATAACATAATTTTGCATATCTGAACGTGTGCAATCTCTCTCTCTTTATATCTACCCCCCACCTACACCCCCCCCCTCCCACATACAAAAAGTGTAACCAACAAAAAATGAAGAGATGCAAAAATGTTTGTACACACACAAAACTCAAGTTCTGGAACACAGTCAAAGTCCAGAATTGGATGCACAATCAGGACTTTGTCAGAATTTACAGCTGGTGAACAAAAACAAACAAGTAGAAACCAGATGTACATTTAAAACTCATCTCAGAGCAAAGACAAAGACCAGAACTGGACAAACAACCAGGAATTTCTTCAGCAGCTGACAGCCGGTGAACACACACAGAAAAAATGAGAAACAATTAGAAATTAAATGTGAAAATGAGAATAGGAATAGACAACGTGAAACGATACCCAAACAAAGGAATACAAAAGTCATAAGAACCATGAAGGGAAATATAAAATGGTAATATGACTAACAATAACAACAGATATAATGGACACAGTACTAAAAAGTGTTTAACTACAAAAAGTTCTAAACTGACAAATACACACCTGTATTCCTTCATGTATGAGTATATTACTCAGATCTAAGACCTGGGGTTCATCACTGGCAGGAACATTGAGATATAGAACATGAACTTCAGCTTCATCCATCCCAGGATGCTGTTCATTGTCTAGTTCTGATTCATCTCTCCTGATTCCCTCCGGGATATTTCCTTGTGTCTGCATAAAGCTATGAGATTCTAGATTCATCTCCTCAGCTGATCGACTGCTACTTTCTTCTTCTTGCTCCATCACATAGACACTGCTGCATTAGTTCCCTGTGGTGACAACACATCATTATTTTAAGAAATAAAATTAGAGGCATAAAGATAAACATCAGCTTCTTCATCTTGTCTTCCACCTTGTACCTCAGCGAAGTGTCGGAGGCGGGGTGGAACATTAGTTGATGAGCTGTCAAGAGCACTATTAAGACTGATGTTCATTTCTGTAAGGCTGTTCTTAATGCCATTACTCCATCTTTTCTGAAGTCTTCCACTCATTCTATACCGTTCTAACATTTTAGTGTGGCTCGCTGTGTCAGGGCATTCCTGTTAGGTGCCCAAACCAATTCTTTGTTGTTCTTTGATGACTTGTAAGACTGGCTTTATTCCTAGCATTCATCTGATTTCATGTTCTGTCTTTTCTTGGAACTCCTGCAGCTCTTCTAAGGCATTTCATCTTTGTTGTCACACTTTTACTTTTACGTTCATTGGAGGATCTAAGTGACCACATTTGGCACTGATAGCATAGAAAAATAGTTATGATAAGATTAGTTAGTCTTGCTCCAAAACCTTAGTGTTGCATGAACATCCGTTTTACAGATTATTTGTATGCAGACTGTTGGTTCCTTGCCTCACAAGCAGATGCCCTCCGACTTTAAAGGAAGCACACCCCCCCCCCCCCCCCACCATTCTCCAAATTAGTCAACTCTTACAACATACTTGTTGGGGAGGCAGTGGGTCTGTTCTTGTTTTCCCCACAATAGGGCCCCAGAACCCACACAGTGAGGTCATATATGATGAAAAGTTAGTCATACAGAAAAATGCAGATTTTCAGATATCCTTCATCAGGGAGAACTGGACTGAATGTAGTTATTATTATTATTATACTAATTAAGTAGTAATGTAAGTTTATCAACGAAATGCTATCCAATCTATCTGGATTTTATATATGTATATATATATATATATATATATATATATATATATATATATATATATAATCCAGATAGATTGGATAGCACTTCGTTGATAAACTTACATTACTACATTACATTACTATTATATATAATAGAGGCATTTAAAAAACTGTTTGGATATCTATGCTTGTAAGCTACTTTTATTCTTTTACTAAATTTAGTCTTCACTTGTTGGTTAGAATACAAAAAGAACAGCGTGACTGCTTGAACTGCTGTGTACCACTGGCAGTTTCACAAACACAACCAACCCCCCATGACTGGTATCCACCTACCCTCTCTTACCTTTGTCAGAAATGAAGCCTGTTCCGCGGCTGATTGTGTTGTTTATTAAAACTATCATAAAGCCAGAATTAGACGCAGTTACCTTAGTTAACTTGGCACATTTATCACCGACAGATGAAGGACGCCATTTTGAAATACAAAGAAATAAGGACAAACGGTCGCTTCTGGTTTCGGGGCTGGAGGAACTAAGGGAAGCAATTTCTGATGCTACAGAATAATTAATTCAATTGAGTAAATGCCTTTTCTGTAAACTTAGGAGGAAAGTTTTGGTTGTTCGTCCATTTCGCAATTTTAGTCTTGTTCAAACCCTGCATATCCGTTTTACATATTTGGCTTATTTTGGTGCAGACTGTTGGTTACTCGCCTCTCAGGTAGTGGCACTCTGTTTTAGAAGGCAACACTCTGACGAGTCGAAAGTTACAGCATGCCTGTAAAGAGGTATTCCCCCTTCCTCTCTCCCATACACGCTCAATGAGGCCGTGTAAATTGAGTGAAACCTATATATTATACTACACTAACAGAATCAGCATTATTAATAGTGATTGATGCCTACACCAATCAACTGTTCCATTTCTAATATTAATTTCTTCTCTACCATAAATAGAAGTTACTGTTTTTTAAACCACTTAATAATTAGGGTGATCATAATAATATTAACTTGAGATCTTCGCGTTCACCAGTATATATATAAAATCCAGATTTGTCCTTTTAAGGACGACATTTTTTGTTTTTTGAAGCCCCACCCTGGCTTTTGCCAGGGGCCGCAATAAAGGCAGGCCATAAATATGGCCAATTATCTGAACGCGGTTTCTGGGACCTCTCCACGGCGATCCTCATCCACATGGTGGCACATTGTGTCATCGGGTGTTTATCGCTTGTGTGATGTCCTGGTGGGGTAGAAAGTCAGTCAGTCAGCCAGGCGTTCACCAGCTGTGAACTCCTGTGAAAAGTTGTCCGAACTCTGAATTTCCGAGTGAACGCATTGAAGCCCGACGCGCTAACGAAGTTGGTTAATCCATCTTCGCTGCGACCGGCTGACCAAGTTCATTCTCGGATGTAGGCAGAGAAGCCAGATATTCACCAGATTTACGGTATCTATCATGGAATCAAGGCCGAAAGGTTGCGATATCCACAGTTCCGAGCTAAAGGGATTACAACTCACGGTTTCTGGATGTGGATCACACACCCATGCATTGAAACCCAAAAGGTCAAAGAACCACAACCAAACGGAAAATGGAATTTGAGTGTGAAGTGAAAAAGATGAGGAGGATATTGGGTGAGCTTGATACATGCGAAAGCAAAGGTCATAAGATGGTTAAGGGCCTAAGCGCCATTAGGAGATACAGAGCTGATAAAAAAAAAAGATACATACAGTGTGAGCCAGCACAACTGGCAAGAAACTGGATGTGAAAGATAGCATGCAAAGGACCCGTTGTTGAAAGTGTTGTCTTTTAATGTGAGCGAAATATTTCAATTGTCACGTTTTTATTTCTCCCAGGAGGTTGAGGCAATCCCTGCTGCCTTCCGCTGGCTTGAGAATCAGCTGTACACACATGCCGTGATTGTAAATGACTCACAGATCATGTTGAGAAAGGTGGAGACAGGCGTGCTTCGTACAGAGTGGCAAGCATCACTTCAGAGGTCCCGGGTAGTAAGCATCCTTTGGATTTTTGTCCAGGTTATGCCGATGGGCTAGGAAATGAGCAGACAGATAGATTGGCTGGCTCTGCACCTCTTCGTGGTGAATTGATGTATGTCGCAGATGGATCATCACAGTCTAAGGAGAATCTCGCTGCGAGGAGTTACCAGGGGATCTGGCCGACGCTCGACACTCAGGGGAAGGATGAGACGTATATACAATTAGTCTAGGCGCCAACGCCACGGTGATTTCCTAGGGCACTGGATGCCCATGGCAATGGAGAAGTTGAAGTTAGAAAGTGTTTGTAATCTGCATTAGGCATTGCTGCTTTAATATACAAATATATGTAAGTATTGCTGATCAAGAGTGAGTGTTTATATTCTTGCAGGGTCATTGTGGTTCCTCCAGATGAGAAGCTGCCACTCTGACACCTCACTCTCCCTCTCCCCCCCCCCCTAAGTCGCACACAAGGCACCTGCTATATCTGCAATACCCTAGGCACGCCACTGAACAACCTCGTAGGTGGACACAAGAAATTCCAGACACGGTGGCATGGAAATACATGAGGCAGTGGGGAAAAAATCGAGTTGTTCCGCCAGGCCGTGATGTATTGATCGGTTTGTTCCCTCTAAGCTGCAGCCCGGAGGTTAAATACCCTGAGATTGAAAAAGTAAAATTGTAGTCTGGCTGGTAGACTAACAAGGCAAGATGCAAGAATACCTCCCCCCCCCCCCCCCCATTTTCCTCTCAACCTTCTAAGTTTGAGGAGAATGGCGCTGCGAGGAGTTACAAGCCGACGCTGGACACTCAGAGAAAAGGCGAGACGGATATACAGACAGTTACTGGTACCATCGGAATTTTATCTCTTCGCTTGCTGGTGAAGATGGGGACGGAGCGCGTATGAGGGTGTCCCGAGCGCTGTGATGTCGATTCTCGATTCAACAACCTTCTAATAGATTATACTTAGGATCACTTTTATATCAGCATTATACCTCACCCACGCGGCGTCCGTGGCTAAGGCGTTGCGAGTCTGACTCGTAATCCAACGTACCGCGATCGAACCCTGCGTGGGCTGCGTGGATTTTTATCGTGGTATGGGACTTCGCAGGTCGACCCAGCCTCAAATGGGTACGAGGATGGGCTGTCCTGGGAAAGTAAAGACGGCCGGCGTAATGCTGACCACATTACCCACCGAGTGCCGATTGGTCAGTAAAAATATGGGTGCTCTTCCCATATGCCTGATGCGCCTAAGGGCGTGTAAAGGGATCTTTACTTTACATACCTCACCCACACTAGATTACTAGACCATAATTATGATAATAATCTTGTTTCTCTGCTGATTCCATTGTTTGTTTCCAAAAGGACCTTGACAACATCTGCCTTGTCATGTCCGTTCAGTGGTGACCCAATATAACTGCTGTATGGCTGTACGGTTAAACGGGGTTTTCGTGATTTGCAAAAGCAAATCTGGAAGGGACATATTAAAGGTTACACCAGCTTGGTGTAAACTGCGTGCGGCCCTGTGCAGGGTATGGACCGACAGACCGTTATGCGAACCAAAACACCACAGCACATGCACGAACAACACAAACTGATGACGTAGAAGGACGGAAGTTTACGAATGTCGTCTGCTCGTTGTTTACACATGGATGCCAAGTGTGGCATGGAGAGAGAAAAATTAAGAATAATACATATGTTCTTGCTTAACTGCTTTCAAATCTGAATATTTCATTTTACCAAGCACAGTCCGCTTTTGTTTATACACTACTTCATATATTTAAAACGCGGAGACCCGCTTTTGTGTCTGAAAACTGCAGTATTCTTCATCACCTTTCACCTTCAATCAAATCAGAATTAAATCATGTTCAGAAAGTTGTCAAAGGCTGCCTCAAGGCTCCCGACTTCTGCTGGGGTATCTTCTAGACAACACTTATCTTCTGTGCGCAAGTTCTCATTCAACTCCGCGGCTAGACAATGTTATAGTCATAGGAATAAGCCATGTTTAGTCCTAGCACCACACTGTACTTACCACAATAGGCAGTTGTCGGTTTTGTCAACAAAGATAGGGTTGTTGCAGCAAAGTAGACCTTCAAGCTTCAAAACATTTCATGATGGCCAGACTCAAGCAATAAATTTCAGCAAACATTACAGGTTATTATGGGCCCGCCACACGGCTCGAGATTTTAGTAGTCAAAGTAAATTAAGTGAAGATGTAGAAGCCAAATTGGATGTAGAGGATCTGCTTGAAAATATTAACAAGAAAATTATTTTTGTGAATGGCAAGTTACATGCATTGTTTTTAAAATTTGTAAGTTTAAGATATTACTTGTAATGTATTGAAGGTCGTGGGTTTGCGTCCTAACGGAGCTGGACTTTTTTCAAAAATGACCTTGACTCCCAGGTTGACCCAGTCTTGAGTGGGTATCAGGAGCGATCTTTGGAAGTAAGGGCAGCTGGCGTGATACTGACCAAATCACCCACCTAGTGCTGATGTATAAAAATTTAGGTTTAGCCCTATATTCCCAATAAGCCTAAAGGCGTGGAGAAGGGACGTTTTTCTTTTTTGTAATGTATTGAAGTTTAGCTTCAGCAGACATATGCAGTGTAAGGCACACGTGTTGTACCATATAATATTTTCAGTTCATCATGTTTTACCTCATGTTCCGTATAGTTTTTTAACTCTTTCTGCTCCAGGTAGTTTTTACTTATTATGTCCTATGAAATTTTACTTGCAATTTCCAAGTTTGTGGGTTCCTAAACAAAAAGCACATCGTAGCAGAAGCAGTGACACCAAAATCTCAATAACACAAATTATTATAACAAATAATTGATAGAAGAAACTCAGTAAATATTTTGTTGTGGGACCAAGAAATGTATAGTGCTTTGTTTGGCACCCAAAAAGTGAACTGAAAATTTAAAGATTTAGAGAAAGTACACTGTTACACAGGAAGCCGCAATGGTCTAGTGGCTAGATGCTCGCCTGCGGATCGGATGGTTGTGGTTTCCGTTCCTGACTTTTTTCAAAAATGACCTTGGCTCCCAGGTCGACCTAGCCTTGAGGGGGTACCAGGTACAGTTATGGGAAGTAAAGGCAGCCTGCGTGATGCTGACCACATCACCCACCAAGGGCCGTTTGGTCTACAAAATATAGGTCCAGCCCTATATACCCAATTTGCCTATAAGCGCGGAAAAGGGTCCTTTACTTTACTCGCACTGTTACATAAATAAAATAATAAATTTCTTTATTAAATGCTTAGGTCAGCCTAATGTTTCAAAATGTGCCATTTCAGTTATGTGGGGGGGAGCTGTGACACACATTTATCAGCCTAGAATCATCTGTTTTGATCTATACCTTTCATATTAGGTGACACTACCACCATGTGGGTTTCAGAGCTCCACTTTGGAAGAAAAAGGACAGACCCAGTGCACCCCCAACACCCAACATGTGTGTCATAAAAGGCAACTAATGAGGGAAGTTTCCTGTGAAGTTGGAGTGCATCTGCCACTGCCTGAGAGGCAAAGAACCAGCAATCTGCACACAGATAAGCAAGATCTATAAAACAGATGTAGACGTCAGCACTCAGGTGCTGAATCAAGACCAAAGTCAAGGACTTTGTGCTGGAGTTTACATCCAGTGGATGTTATAAAGAGATTAAAAAATGACACTCAGGTAACTCACTCAAGTTTTGTTGTTACATATTTTCTTATATTTCAGATGACATTGTTGCAATAAACAAACCATATGGGTTATCTGTGTTCGGTAAGTATTGTTTTTGCTTTTCTTGTTTTTGTAGTGACAGCCTGCTAGAGTTAAAGAAATGTTTGTTGAGATTACTAACTACAGGGAAACACTTATAACCACTTCTTCTTCTGCCCTTCATCTCTTAGTGAGGCACAGACCCTCAGCAAACTCATACTAAGCCCTTTATAGATTTGTTGAAAACAGGAGTGACTGCAGTGAAGCTGAAGAACATACCTCAGCTTAACAATAAAGTCAGACCAGGAAGCTGCCTACCAGGCTTTTTCTGTCGTTGCCACATCCCCATGAAGGTCCAAAAACGGACCTGTCTGCAGTAACCTGTTCTCAGGAAGCATAATTTAATATGATTAGTTCTGTTTATTGCTTGCACAGCGTTCAGGATTCCCGGATATAAAAGTGTTTACTAAAAAAGCATTTAGGGATTGAACCTAGGTCTTTAGGCCTTTTGAACCAAATGGCTTTTGTAAAGCCATATTAATGTCAGATTTTTTCGTAAACCTCATTGACAGTATGAATGCACTAATTAGTCCGTTTGTATTTAGTGATTACTTTCTTTATATATTTTCAGAGAAACTAAAATGTAAATAAATTTTTTTTTTCCAAAATATGTAGTGACCTGCAGCAAATTATTGTTTTGGGGAATTCCCATGGGATAATATCCCTTTTTTTTTTTAGCATTCCTGATGCAATTTTTTTTTTTTTTTAGATATCCAGAAACCATGAATTGTTAACCCTTTGGCTCAGTACTATAGATATCGCAACCCTACTGTTTTCATTCCAAGATAGATAAGATAAATCTGGGAGAAATGTAGCTTTTTCGGCCTACCCCTGGGCTTGAGCCCAGACCACAAGGAGTTTGTCACCCGGTCGTCGCGCAGTCAGGTTTAACCATCTGAGCTAATGTTCACTTTTATTGGTGCTTTTGTTTTCCTTTACATATTTTGAGCTATTGTCATAGTTATATTTGTTTTAAATTGTTTTTTTTAATTTAAGATACTCGCCTGTAGATTTGGTGTTTGTGATTGGTTGGATTTTGCAGCTGTAGTTTTCTTTGGGTCGAGGCAGCCAGGCTCATTTCAGCCCTACTTGTCTGCCTCTTACGTGTGTAGTGGGCTACAGTGTTACTATTCTTTCTTTGTTTTTTGAGGTGTGTGGCCTCAGTAACATGGGTGAGTATTAGAATTATTATTTCTTATTCTTTTTTTGTGTGTGCCTGTTATTCCTCAGCGAAGCATAGGCTCTCAGCCAGCTGATGCCAAGTCATCCTATCATATGCAGCTCACCCTATGTTCTTATAGTCTTTTTAACTTCACACTCTAGTGACCTTATTTTTCTAATAGAAATATCCCCCCCCCCTCCCCCAACCCCATCTTGGTTAGCTTGTTATTACTTCTTTTTTGACTTGTCCTTGGTTAATTGGTTTTTGTGACTGTTTTTAACTTGATAAGGTAGCCAACCCCAAGTCCAACACTATCCTTAGTCACCTATGAGGACATGCATGGTGGCATGTGTTTTGTTATTCTTTACTTCCCATGAGGGCCCCAGTAACACACATGATTATAATCATTAGTCAATCAGCAAGTCCTTTGCAGAATGTCGCTCTTTACAGCACACCTGAAAGTATTCCTTTCCCCAGCCAGCTCTCCAGCCCCATGTGCCTTCAGTGCTAATGCATCTTCAATGTCCTGTATCCATCTTAGCGGTGGTCGACCCCTGCCTCGCCTTCCACAAACTACCATCACCATCTTTTCCAAGCCACCATGACGCTTAATGTGGCCAAAATACTTCAACTTTCGGGACAGGATGCTGTTTATTAGCCAGTTCTCCTTGATGTTCAACTCGTTCATAATGTCGATAATATAATCATTAGCACTCTAAAATTTAAATACTAGCTATTGCTACCTGTGTGTTACTAGGCTCAAGAACCCCAGCTTCAGCAAACAATACACACTCTTCTTGTTACAATAGGAAGTGCTTTAATTACCAGAAAAGTAACTTTGCAGTTTAAAAGAGTTCAATAATTATGCACTGTTATGTTACTTACACTGGCATTTTGGTTCACCAGGCTCTTCCCCACCATCTGTGAACTCAGACAAACCAGCAACTACTTTTGTTGGAATGTTATCTCACTTGAAAGATAAATTAAATTGCTCCTACTTAGATGTTGGACTGTCACTGAAAAGGTCAGTGTTTTTTTTTATAAAAAATTATTTTTTTTAAATATAGTGATAACAGAGCAGTGGTAACATAGTGGTAAGCACACAAGCTTGCTAGCCTAGTGGTCAAAGTTTTGAATCCCTCGTCAAGATGGATTGCTAAATTTGACCTAGGTTTTCAGGTCAGATTAGCCCAAAATGGAAAATATCCTGTTATTTAACAGTGGCTAACTTGATGCTGACCATATAACCACTGAGTGCCCTTTGGTCTGTAAAGACAAGCATATACCCAATGTACCTGAAGGTTAGGGAATAGATATTAAGATGAAAAGACAGTAAAATATTAACCCTATTTTGCCTAGAGACAGACCACATTTTACACTGTCATCCAGTACAAACCCAGCTGATATTCTGGCAGTATGGCTATGTCCAGTCCATGCTATGCCTGTATATCAGGTTTGGTTCTGTTTGCACTTGTGCACTGTTTAGAATGACCAGATTTGATTATATCTATTAAATTAGAAGTGCGAAGGGAGATCTGTTGTGAAAAATCAGTGGTTTTTCAAAGTCATTATGATGTCATAATTTGCCTTCAACAGACACATAGCAACAGGGTTGCGGTCCTTGGATGGCAGTGAATGCCCATGATCTGCCTTCCATTGAGGGCTGACCAGTCTACATGCAGATGCTCTAGACCGATTCTTCAGGGGCAACACTTGTAGAAAAGGGGGTTCCTATAGAAGAGACACTAAACATATGATCCAGATGGAAAAGTTTAACATTATGCAGTCACACACAATGAATGCTACGTTAGATGATATGTCGTTGGGGCGACAGCATCAAGCAGATCTACCTGTGAGAACAACACCACTGAAACCTACTCTATACCCTGTACACAATACAGATAATAACTTAAGTCAGTGAACCCAAAGCTTGAGATGAGTCCAGTGACCTTCAGAAACGAACAGCTGCTCTTAGCATGATCCAAGAAAACTATCCCGAACAGACGTGTATGCATGCTTACTCAGATTGATCAGCAACTAATGTGGTTAAAAATGGGTGTGCTGGCATCTTTAACACATACCCAGACAACCACTGCCACACAAAGTATATACCCACTAGTAAATTCTGTTCCAACTACAGAGCAGAGATCCTAGCTCTAGAGCAGGCTGCTGAAATGTTACACAACACCAGTTCTGACTGCCACTGAGTGGTCATCTTCACAGATGCTCTGCCGGTGCTCCAAGCTCTCAAGAGTGGTAAATTCTCTTACCTGAGACCTGAACTTGGCAAAGTGGCTGCCCAAAAGCGTACTGTACTCCAGTGGGTGCCAACGAAACAGCAGATAAACTTGCCAAGAAAGCGGCAGACAGGATGATAATTCAGTAACATACTATGAGAAGAAAAAGGCCAACCAGTCTATCAGAAGAGAACAGTCTGCCCTGAAATGACTACCACTTACTTGACCAGCATGGGCAGGTCATTATTCTATGCCTCAGGACAGGACATAATGCACTTAACAAGCATATGCACAGGCTTTGTTTAAGTAGTTCACCATTGTTCCTTTGTGGGCTGTGTGTGCAGACTGCAGAACATATCCTACAAGAATGTCCCTTGTACAGTCCATTAAGAAGGAAATACTGGCTCAATTAGTCAACACAGTACTTAAAGTTTTATGGAACTAAAAGGGAACTCCTAAAAACTGTCAAGTTTATCATAAGAACTTGTCTGCCGGTGTAAATCAAAAAATGAACACAAGAAGAAGATAAGGGACACAAAGAGAGCACCACACAAATACGGCTGTGCTGTGTCCCTCGAAACTATCCGGGAAGTTAATCGGGTCAACAAATGCTCAATGAAGTTGGATATGTTAGCCAAAAGGTGCACATATTGCTGCTCTGCCTGAAACAAGCACTTCACAGTTATGTCATTTGGACGAATTAAGAGAAGAAGAAGAAATAATTTAATTCACCACTATGTCCTTGCGTAGTAATTACTCCCCTTCTTATATTTGAAAAGCACTTTTTCTAATGTATAGAAAAAAAATCTAATGAACTGTATAGAAACGAGAGCTGTCCATTAAAGAGTTAACCTTGCCAAAGTGGCACGAGGCATTCTGCAAACATGTCCTATCCATCTCCATCTTCTTGTCTTAGTCCAAGTCCTTTTGAGAAAAAAAAGAAAAGCTCGACCACGTTCAGACTGCTGCTAGCTAGCCTAGGCTGCTAGCAGTCTCAGCCTATATTTGTGGTCTGGGTTATTTGCGTCACTTTCGTGACTGAATTTTAGTGTTTGTGCCATTTCTGGGCTTGATGCTTCCATCCGAATCAAACCGCTCGTCCTGTTGTCACTGGTGCATGTCTTCCTTCTTTTTTCTTGGTGTTTCCTGTTTGTTCTGTCTCCCTTTGATCTGGCTAGGCGTATCTCGAAAGGAGAGCGAGCTTCCTTACACAACGTCCTTTGGACCACCATTTATTTTTTTAAAATTTTGAGTATTTTAATTTTGCCAAAAAGTACTGAAAACAGTTTTTGAATTTGAATAGTTCTGAAATGTGAAAATGTTCCGCGTGTGACCATAGTGGTCTTATAGTTTTCTTTCCATCTTCTTCCTTCTGTAGTTTTAAATACCAGTGATTAACATGTGGTTTTTCTCTTCACTACTTCCTTAGGGATCTTGTTCTGCCAAAATATTTGCAGGATTCTTATTAGAAATTTATTCTTAAACGTCTGTATTTAAAGTGATAAGGAATAATGACGCCAGGTTTTTTTGTCATGGAAAATAAAATAAGGTTGCAGGAAATAGTGGATAAATTCGCAGAAGGAAATCAAAATAAATTCCTTTGTTTTAATAGAAAAATTCTTTGGGGGGGGGGTTGGGGGGGGAATAGATCTACTGCCCCTTAACAAACATACATGTCATACAAGGCAACTAATTAGGGATATTTCCTTTGAAGTCAGAGTGCATTTGCCTGAGAGTTGAGGAACCAACACTCACAAATAAGCCAGATCTGTAAAATGTGTGCGCACACATAACTCAATTTCTGGAACAAGACCAAAGTCCAGAACTGGACGAACAACCAGAACTTTACACCAGGATTTAAAGCTAGTGAATGCTTAAAAAAAAGAGAAGAAGAATGGGACTGAAGTATTTTACTCTATGATGTTTATCTTTTTCTACTGAAATTTATGAGTATTTATTTTGTCGTTAGTTTTTACTCTGGGCTAGTGATACTTTGCAAAAACAAGAATTCAAAGAAGCAAATGGAGAAAGTTCTAGCTGGGGCCCAAGCACAAAAGATACAGTTTAAAACCTACCTGTAAGTTGGCCATTTGTTAATTAACTATTTATGAAACATTTTGCAAATCAGAACAGCGCCAGCTGATTGCAGTGGTGCTATGATGGAAGCAGCAGCACCCAGTATGTAAACTAACCATCAAAATGTTTTATTATACAAAGATATGAGTCTAAAAGCATCACATATGTTATGCATCTTCTTCTTCTTCTTTACGTCCTCTTTTACTACTTTTGGTGTAGATGGAGATATAAGGTCCTGCTTCGTGTTTTTCTGGCTTCTTCAATCAAAGACACATTGTGGTACTGTAGAGTTTCTCTGATGTTATCCTTCCATAATGTTCTTGGTCTACCTCTTGCTCTATGTCCCTCTCCTTTTTTGGTATATGCCTTGAATGTTATATCATCAGAAGGAATTCTCTATTCTTTGGATAATCTCTCCAGGTTAAGCGGGTGTGTTTGGAAATGAACAGACAGGTAGACTGGCCGGTTCTGCACCACTTGGTGGTGAATTGATGAATGACAAGCTAAAGGTTGTGAGGGCCCTCTGGGAGCGAGTGAACAGTGCAGAAATGCAAATAGATCATTACAGTTTGAGGAGAAAGGCGCTGCGAGGAGTTAACAGAGGATCTGGCCGACACTTAACACTCAAAAGAAGGGCGAGACAGAAATACAATTAGACAGTTACTTGTGCCATCAGAATTGGAACTTTATTTGCTGCTGACGATATGGATGGAGCGCTTATGTGGGCGTCCTGAGTGCTATGATGTCGATTCTTAATTCAACATTAAATGCAGTTAACATTGATGTATCATAAAATTTACATTGATATATCATGCAGTTAACATTGAATTATCATGCATTTAACATTGATATATCATGCAGTTTACATTGATATTTTATGCAGTTAACATTGATATATCATGCAGTTTACATTGATATATCATGCAGTTAACATTGATATATCATGCAGTTTACATTGATTTGTCATGCAGTTAACATTGATATATCGTGCAGTTTACATTGATGTATCATGCAAATAAAATTAATATATTTTGCAGTTTACATTGAAATATTGTGCAGTTAACATTGATATATCATGCCACGTAGTTGCTCTTGCTCAGCTGGTACACCCCATTGTTTCCATTCTTCCTGTCTAGAGTTATCACAGTTGGTGTCCCGCAGTGTTCACATGGAGTGGATCTTACAGCAAATATTGCTCGAGAGCATTTACATAACAGGGAAATGGTAAATTTTTTTTTTTAAACTGAGGCACAAATAGTATTTCATCTTATCTCATTAGGTGCTTGCTACATGAACTAACTAATCCTTTTACTCAAATGTAACTGTTTTTTTTTTAAGAAGCCACACTGCCTCGTGCAATAATAATTTAAGTGTAATTAATTAACTAAAAACTAATACTAGACTTAAAATTGTTTATTTTAGTGTCAAATCAGTACTGTTGTATGGAACGGAAACATGGAGAACAACTAAAACAGCTACTAGTAAATTAGAAATATTAGTTCTGCCTGGGCAGAATAGAGGGAGTTAAATGGTATGGAATCACTGATGCTGAGCTTTGGGAGAGAACCTGGACCAAGAGGTGAATAAGAAAAGCTGGCATTGGATAGGACACACTCTGAGAAAACCTGAGGACAGTATAACTAGAATGAATTTGCACTGGAACCCACAGGGGCGTAGAAATAAAGGCAAGCACATGGAAAAGAAAGCAAGAGAATGAAGTTGAAGGGATAGAGAGGACATGTGATGAGCTACATGCAAATATCAAAGGAGAGGGCAGCATGGTGAGGGTTGGTTAAGACCCTGTGCTCGGATAAAATGAAGAAGAAGAAGAAGAAAAATGTAATTGAAAAATTTCGGTTTAAAAAAATAACAAGACGCTGATCCTGGATAGGATGCAGACTGATAAAACCTTTATTATAATAATAAATATACCAGAATTTCCTTGCACTGGAATCCACAGGGCCGAAGAAACCAAGGAAGCCCAGGAATACATAGTAGAAGAATTAGAGAGAGGTGAATAAGAGGGGGAAGAAATGGAGTGAGATGCACAAGATAGGTCACTTCCATCATCATCATCTTCATTGTCCTCTTGTGCCATTGTGTGACATAGGACTTGCAGACTATTTCTCCACTCCATTTTATCCTGAGCAGTCACCTTGATTTCATGGACGGAATCCTGTCCAGCACCTTTGGTTTCTCTTACCAGCATTTGCCACAGGGTTTCTCCGGGACGTCCTCATTTCCTTAGTCCATCTGTTTTCCATTTGAATGCCTGTTTAATTTATTTTTTTTTTAATGGTCGTCTCTTCTTAGAATCTATTTAATATAGCACCATCTTCTATCTGATAGTTCTAGTGGTTGCCCAGACATTTCTCTTATTTCTTTACTCCTCTTGTCATCCCATTTTATGTTCATCTTCCTCACGCATTTGTTTTCAGATGCATTTTCATTCCATGTCTTTGGTGGTTCTCCAGCTTTCACTGGGACATGTCAAAACTGAAATAATGTGAGAATCAAAAATTTGTAACCTGGTTCTAAAACTGTATATAGAATTTTGAGTTTAGATAGGACAGTGTGACATAATTTTGTTGATGGCTTTTGCTCTATTGACACAAAAATGTCAGGAGAAGAATATCTTCTTCTTCTTTTTTTTTTTTTTGTTCGTCCAAGTGCATTGTGCCTGTTTACAGTGATGCTGTGATATTTGAGCCTTTCGGCTGACACATCTAACTTCACAGGCTTCTGTTGATTGGGTTAACTTCCCAGACTAGAAAAAGACAACTATATTGGTTATTATTGTCACTATAAAACCATTTGTTTCATGTGTTTCTCAACAGAGTACTGTCAGTGACAAGTACATCCACACAGCAGCTAAGGAAGGCACAATGATGCAGACACATTTCAATGTGCAGCCATTGGCTGTCAACAGTTCTGTTGGTGCTGCACTGGTGCAGGTGACCATTAACAAAGGTAGGGCTATGTATCTATCGATGTCTTACATACAAGTTTATTACAACATTAGTGGCAGGGTTAGTGTTATTTTTTCCCTCCTTTTTTCTGCTCCTTGAGTCTCCAAGGTCAGTCTAGTCTCATAAAATAGCTACTATCGCGTTTCAATAATAATAAGCCCTACCCCAAAAAAAATTAGTCCTAGCACAAATTTGTCAGGATGTTATTTTATAAGCTCCCTCAAAGTCGGAGTACATCAGCGGGAGAGGCAGGGAACGGCAAACGAATAAGCCAGTAAAACGGATGTACATGCGAAACTCAGGTCCAGGTAAAAGCTAAAAGTCCAAATGGACAAACTACTGGGACCTTCCGCCGGAATTCACACCCGGTGAATGCAGAAGAAGAAGATTACATAAGCTTTACCCCCAAAAATAAGCACAATGATACATCTTTCAGTATGTTTTTATATAAGCCCTACTTCCAAAGTAAGCCCTAGTTAAGATTGTCAGAATAAGAGACTTGCTGGCCAGTCGGAGTACAGACACCACTAAAGATTGGCACCTTTCCAGGCGATAGTGTTATATTGCGCTATGAGAAGGCATGGGACTCACAGCCCATGGCAATGGCGAGTGTTACTAGCAAGACCCATCCACGTTAAGAAAGACCCGCCCATGTCCTGCCACTTAATGCCAAGTATTCATCTTAGACATCACATGTGAAAGCTATTTCTCCTGGTGCGAATGAGTTGACCAAATTTCACTGCCATAAAGCAGAGTGCTGAGAACACAAGCCTGATGGACAAGAGTCTTTGTTTTAATCATGAGCTTTTTGTTATCCCAAACTCTTTTTTTTTTATCTGTTCATTGTTGTTGCCGAGACGACAGTCGTGCACACTTGAAAATGAATGGACTAAGGCCAGAATTCAGGATTGGAGAGTTATGACGCTGTTCCAGAAGATGATTATTTTTGAATAAATGTAGAATTTTGTACATGGATAAATTAGATTTTGTACCTGGAAAAAGGCATCCCGCGAAAAATGGCCTTAGTGCATTCATAAAAGCAAATAATAATTTAAGACCTGGTCTTATTTTCGGGGAAAACTCTGTAGAGTATCTCTGGAAAAGTGTGCTTGTGTGTAAGGAGGGTGTTGCAACCTTAATTATTTTAAGCTTTCAATCCTAAACAATGCGTAGTGTATGTGTAGGATTATCCTTGTGAATCAGCCACCATAAAATATGTTCTCATACAATACACATTTGATCAGAACATATTAAAGAAATCTGGCTACCCAACTGGCCTCATCCACAGTGTTTAGCTCCACAGTGTTAAGCCTCTGTTTAGTATTCATATTTTGTCCCCCCATTTGACGTTTGTTGCAAATTCTTATGGTATGGAAATAGTTGTTGTACAAGCATAACAACTCAAAATTAACATGGTTCATACACCAGACACCGCATGTGGAGCAAAGAGAATGTGACAGACTCTGTCCCTCATTTTCATGACATCCCAGAAAAATACTGTGTTACCATTTCACAAGATCAGGTGGACTACAAAATGTGTACTATTTCAGAGGGAAAAAATATCCAGTTCTACTAGTGCTGGTGCAGAGTTCCAGTTCTGATTATATACCTGTCTCAGTTCTCCCTTGAGTATTAATCGTTGTCCAGATCCCATGATCACTTCTCACAGCACCATTCTTCTCAGACCATGAAGATCTGTCTGTGCTTCTGCACTGTTCACTCGCCCCAAAAGAACCCTTACAACATCCAGCTTGTCGTGCGTCATTTCACCACCAAGTTTTACAGATCCAGCCAGTCTGTCTGCCTTTTCATTTCCTATTAGATCGGCATTTCCTGGGGAAAATTATCCAACGGACACTAACTACCCAATGCTTGCCATTCTTCATGGTGCACAGGTCTCAACTTTCTCAAAATGATCTTGAGTTGATTATAATATCATATTGGACCGCTGCTGATTGTCAAGCTAGCAGGTTTCGGTGACTGCCTTCACCTCCATTCTCAGACTTGTTGTTGTGGTGTCATATGCCAGGTATTGTTGCACAAAGCGGTGACCATTCGCTTTTGCTAAGAGTCCCCTGGACACATATGTTTATGTTAAAAACTAGTCATCCCCTAGTGGGATGCAAATTTGTTGTTATTTTGAAGCCCCACCCTGGCTCTTACCAGGGGCCGCAATATAGCCCAGCCTTAAATATGGTCTAATGGCTGAACGCGGTTTCTGGGACCTCTCCACGGGTGATCCTCATCCACATGGTGGCACTTTTGTGTTATGGGGTGTTTATCACTTGTTTGATGTCCTAATGGTGTAAAATGTACTACTTCTATTATAATGTGTTTGTGTACAAATTGGAAAACAGAAAGTTTGGATTGGTGGTGGTGGGGGGGAGGGGGGATTTTTGTGACTGGACCAGACAGTTTGTTAAGACACACATTGTATGTGATGTTAAAGAGCCCTGTTCTTAATGAAGAAAAGAATAGATAGATCCACTGCCTCCCTAACAACCGTGTCATACAAAACAACTGATTAGGTGACTTTCCTTCAGAGTCGGAGTGCATCTGCCTGAGAGGCCAGGAACAAATAAGCCAGATATGTAGAACGAATGTGCTGAAACAAGACCAATGTTTAGAAACTGACAAACAACCAGAACTTTCCGCCGAAGTTTACAGAAGAAATGTAGTCGTCATCCTCAATATTATATTAATACCATTAGATCATCTTCATTGAAATCAACTACAAATAATCAGTAGATAATAATAGACAACCACAGGCTGGACTTTCATAGTCAAATACCTATCTGAAAATAGCCCTAAAATTTGTCACTGCCATTCACCTCAGATAAATGGGAAGCAGTGGAGGTCATAATGAGTCACTACCTCAGTCCAGTTCTGGGTGACCACATCTATTCTCGTAGGACTCAGCTGATCCGAGGGATCCCTTTCGCAGCCAGTGCCCATGCATCTCTCCCGGGGCCTCAGGTAAGCACAGTATATTTTAATTGTAAGCAAAAGTTGGTCGGTTCTGTGAGGCAGGATTGATTCTTTTAGTGATTTGTTTGTTTGTTTTGTTAACATGCTGTTTTGTTTGTGGCTGCTCTGCGATTTGTATTATCAGTGTCAGCCAGGAGTGTTGTTTTTTGAAGGTTGAGAAGTAAACACACTTGTCTAGGCAATATCTACCAATGCATTGACCCATATTTTTTTATTTTGCCTCAGAAAGGTACGAATCCTTTGCCTCAGAGAAGAACCCATGGGTTATATTTAAAAAGTAAAAGACTCTTTTCATGTTAGTGATGCTTGGACATATGATAGTAGTTCCATATTTCTGTACATCAATCACTAGTCAGTGAGTTTTGCATCAGAATTACACCAGCCACCTTCATTTCACAGGAAATGTCCTGGTACCAGTTGAGGCTGAGAGCCGAGTTCAGCGCTTGAAAACAAATTGAGCTATTGCGCTACTGTGGCTGTCTTGTGGGAGAGGCCGAGAACCTCTCTGATTAGACTGCTTTTGTAGATACTGAAAACGGATCTTTAGGATGACTCTTCGCTTGCTGCTGAGGATGGGGACGTTAAGCTTATGGGGATGTCCCGAGTGTTGAGATGTCGATGTCCACATTCTTCTTCAGCGATCTCTGGTCATGCGCATAATCCACTGTGGGTCATAAACTGGGATGTCTTTTCAAGGTCTCTTAGGTTTCCGCAAAGCTTAGTTGTCAGTTCTACTGGGTGTTGCCATATGTCGCTCCGCAGCTCCGCCAGGAGAGGACAGTCTTGCAGGACATGTTCTGGAGTTTGTTCAGCACGAAGGCACCGGCAGAGAGCTGTTTGGCTCATACCTAATTTATGTGAGTGTTTATTGAGTCTGCAGTGTCCAGTGCGTAAGCGAAAAACTGTGACTTGGTCTGTTCTGTTCAAGTGTTTCAGAAAATCTTTTTCGTAGTTATAACCAGTGTTGGTTTTCCAATCTGTTTCTGATTTTCTCTTAATGAGAGTTTTGACTTCTGGAAAAGATAGTGGCTGGTAGGTCTGTGGTTTGTTACTGCCTTCCTTGGCTAAAGCATCTGCGCTTTCATTGCCTTGGATGTCACAGTGAGACGGAATCCACTGCAAGTGAATTTCTGCCTTATTTGACAACATAGCAAGTTCATGTGTTAGACTTTGTAGTGTGCTGTCGGTAAGTTTGGACTCAAGGGCCTCTATAGCTGACAGTGAGTCAGTGAGAAAAACTATCCTGCCTGCGGTGATTTGCAGATTGTTCATATACTGGGCTGCCATCAATAGAGCTGAGAGTTCTGCCTTGTAGTTAGAGCAAGTTCGTCCGGTGGGGGCTGCTAGGGACACAGTAGTGGCATCTGGGTGTTTTATGTAAACACCTGCCCCACCATTCGTAGTTGCCTCTTTTGCTGATCCATCCGTGTAGATTCTCGTCCAGCTGTCCTGTGGAAACATGTTGTTGAGGTGTTCCATTGTGAGTGCTTTCTTCACTAAAGCGGGCTCAGCATCTTTGTTTCCCAGGTTCGGGATGGATGTTGACACATTGAGTGTCAATAATTCGGAGTCCCAAAGTTCGAAAGATAGGATGTCCACATTCAAGGATGACTTATTCGAAAATAAGGAAATCACACCAAGAACAAACATCTGTAGCTGCAGGGATCTATGAAACACCTGCTTCTGTGAACTGAAAGATTATATGTAGCCAAACTCATGACCTTCAGAGCATGAGATAGGCAGCTTAACCACTTCCCTACAGAGGATTTTTAGTCAAACATTCAGGGTGCCATTTTCCACAATGAAGGTTGGATCTCCAACATGCTGTCTCTGTCTCTCAACCTGGTTATGCACTCTCTGAGACTTCTGTTCATCTGTCTTTTGGTTTTATCCTATCAATTGTATCACTGTCTATCTCTTGGTTGTTTGCTTTGTTTTTCCCCTCCTTCTTCTTTACGTCCTCTTTTACCGTTTTGGGTGTCTAGGGAGATATAAGGTCCTGCTTTATGTTCTTCTGGCTGCTTCGACCATAGGCGACCATGTTGCTGTAGAGTTTCTCTGATGTTATTTTCCCATTTTGTTCTTGTTCTACCTCTTGCTCTACGTCCCTCTCCTCTTTTGGTATATGCATTGTATGGTATAGCATCAGAGAGCATTCTCTCTAAGCGGGCAAATTCATTTGATTTGCTGTCTTTGTATGTAATTTAGAATTGGTTCTGTGCCTACTTTATCTCGTATGTCATCATTCCTGATTTTATCTCTTCTGGTCACTCCTAGTCTTTCTCAGACACCTCATTTCCATGGTTACTAATTTTCTGTTGTTTTGTTGTGAGTGACCACGCTTAACACTGGTAGAATAGGGTGGGAATGAATATGCTTTGTATGAGATGTCTCTGTGCTGATTGGGATTGCCTTTTGCTGTGGAAAGGGGGGGGGGGGGGTGTGTGTGTTAGCCTAGGATTTGTAATTGGCCAGCTTGACTGAATCAGATGTCAATTTCTTTGTCCAGGTGTTTAATATATGTATGCTCTAATGCTGTGTTTAAATCTTGCTTCTTTCTATTGACATTACTTCTGTCTTTTCGATGTTGATTCTCATATTATTTGATTTACATTCTTCATTCACGGATGTGAGATGCTGTTGCACATTCATGGCTGTATCTACAATCAAGGCCTGGTCATCAGCAAAGAGTAATTCGTTGATGTTACTATTATTTTTATTCCTGGGCCTTGCATCCTTGCTTCTACTGTCAGTGTAGGTGATAAATAAAGTGGTGATAAGACACATCCCTGTCTTACTCCATATGTTACTTTGAATGGTTTAGATGTTTCCTGATTTATTCTAACTAGGCTTCTACAATCGCTGTATAAGCTTTTGCAGTGAGGTGTTCACTTACTCCATATCGAGCCATTACTTTCCATAATTTGTGTCTATCAACCCTGTCCCTTTTCACGCCAATATGGGTTTTTTATAAGCATAGTATATCTTTTAATGTGGCCAGAATATTTTTACTTTCCTTTTTTTTTTTTTCTTTCAGCAACAGATGATTTTATATATGTGCAAATAATTATTGAGCAAGTGTTAATGATGTTTTAAAATTGTTTTTTTTTTTTCAGATACTTCCACAGACTATAGTAGAAGCACTTCAGTCCAGAGAGGACTGTGTTGAAAAGGATTTGCCCCTCTTTGTGCATTGTCACAAAGTTGTGCTCAATAAATTTCCTACCAAATCATCTCCACCATTGATAATAACAGCTCCACCTCAAGAAGAATTTCTGACAACACTAAAGTGTCTTGGATTATATCAAGAAGGAATGTTTCCTTGATGTCAGTGAACTGTTGTTACTTTCAGGCAAGCAAGGAGACCGAATTAATTCTGATCTACAGTAAAACCTTGTTAACACAAATTCCAAAATAAAGAGTTCCTGTTTTTAAATTAAAAAAATTTTGCTAAAAACTGGAGATATATATATTGGGGTCTGTGTGGTGAACTGGTCAAGCCACTAGTCTTTTGCTCTGAAGGTTGTAGGTTTGTTTCATGTCATTCGGTTAACTAGTAGTTTTTACAAAAACCCCTGGGGATCATCACAGGAGCTCCAGTTTTCCTGCTTTGTACATTACTGTCAGCAGGCAGCCAGCCATTCTGCCAAGAGAAACCAAGCAGTATGGGATAAAACCTGGTGCAGTAAAGTGTGTCCTCTTGACCTTTAACCGGTGGTTTATGAACAAAACATCCCTGCTGGGGCACAAATTCTGTTCATGTTTACAGTGTGTTTGTCTTAATCAAGTTTGTGTTAATGAGCTTTTACTGTAATTTAAAAGATGGCAGATTTGAGACATTAAATTATTTTTCCAAATTGCTGACACTTAAAAAAAAAGTGATTATTGTGTGGTAAATGTAAGCTGCAGGAGTAATAAGAAATATTAAAACTAAAGAACTAATAAGAAGGCTGTAGGACTGAAACCAGACATACAATTCATGAACAGTGAGAATACCCTGGTACTAAATGCCACACACAACCATGCTGAAAAAAAAAATATAATGAACACTGATCAATAGGAAGACCACAGAAAACATGGAATGACAGCATCAAGAATAGCCTTACAGAAATAATCAAGTTATCTAAGTCCTTAGAAAGAGCACAAAGAAGATGCTTTTATCCCGTTCCAATGTTTTCGTGAGGTCACCCGAGGAAGAGAAGAGGATAAATGTATGAAAACAAAAATGTACTAATGAACCTACTCACCAACATTCTTGTTATAATGCCAGATTAAATCAAGTTACACTGGCTGTTAATGTACATATATCTAAATGCCATTAGACATTAACATTAAAGTTTATCACACACCACTGACTTGCTGTCACTGATTTATCATCTCCTTTTTGTGTGTGTGTGCCCGTGCATGTCTGTCCAAGTTAGGTATATTATGGGTTATTCATTACCAAAATAGCAAGCATGACTTATACAAATTGCAGTTTCACCTCATATAAACAATTGTGTAACATCAAATTGTCAACAGTTCCTTTAATCCTAATTAGTAATGCTTAACAAATCTATACACAATACATTGAATCTTCTGAACAATTACATTATTTGAGAAAGTCCAGATGTTTGTACGGATAAAATTCTTATAGTACAGTAGTCTTGTCAACAGTTCCTTTAATCCTAATTAGCAATGCCTACAAAATCTATACATAATACATTTAATCTTCTAAACAATTACATTATTTGAGATAGTCAAGATGTTTATACGGATTAACTTCTTACAGTGGTCTTCAACCTTTTGAGCACCCTACAGTTATAATTGATTAAAATTAAGCAAATAAACAAGTCCTTCGAACTGAAGCACAAAATCGACTACATTCAAAAACTCGTCTGTTTCACCAGGGTAAACGCAAGGTGAAGAGCATGTCCGTTTGTCTGAATAATTCTCGACTAAACTGGTTTATAGTGACCGCTTCCGCAAATCTCAGTAATCTACGATTGGCTGAATTGTAAATAATTAAAAAAAGTCTTCTTAGTTCAAATTCACAATGGGGAAACATTGCTTTGACTTACTAAGATAATGGCAAGGTTGATCAAAATCTGCCCCAAGAAGCTCAAAGAGCAGAGATTCGGTTCCGATAATTTGAAGGATTCGACTAGTGGACTCTCATTTTAAAAAATATAGGCAGTGTACGGTAACAAATGTGTGCCGAAGACAAAATTTACAGACTGGGCCCAAATGTTTGGGTAAAGGATGTGAGTTCATGACAGGTTTTAAATGGCCAGATCAATAGCATATTGTTGTAAAGGGGGGAAAAACATCGCCAAAAGTGATTCAGCAGTACTGGTTAACCCTTGTCAAAGCATGTTTGTAGTGAAAGAATTCTGTGTGTCAACAAGGACAGTTCCACAGGTTGTTAATAAGAAACTGCAGTGTGTTGGCAGTAAGTACCACAGATGCTGAACTACTTACAAAGTAGAGTTTGATGCATTTCTCTTCTGCATAGTGGCATGTGATAAATAACTGTGTCACCACTTTGAGCTAAGCAGCAAGAGACAGAATATGCAATCTGTCACCATGTGATTTTCATTTATTCACTCTCAAGAGGCAATGATTTCACACAGATGCTGGTGTAATGACCACGGTAAACACTTGATTCAGTGAGCAACCACAATCCTTTTTTGTGGACAGCATTTGCAGCCTAAGCAATGGGAAGCTTGCCTATGATGACTTTTTCTGACCGACCCATAGAGCATAATTCATTAAAAATAATACTTTATTTCTGTTACACTGATTAATGTTTCTTTCATGCTTATGTCATAAAGCCATTGGAATGGGTCTCAAATTAACACACTTTATAAAATATGAACCAGTGTATCATAATATAATGTAAAGCAATGCACCATAATACAACAATTCTGTAGACAAAACAAACTGAACTTTCCTTGCATTAAATAATCTGAAACAAATCCAAAATGGAGCCCCAAAACCCTCATGAGAAAAGCTTTGTAGCAGTAACTTTCTTCACAATTTTATAGTCAAGGACTTGTTTTTCATGCCAATGGCACATTCAGGCATGTGCTATACCCATGTTTATAGACCAATCAGCAGCACTCAGTGGACGATGTGGTCAACATCACTTCTGCCACTTTACTTCCCAGGACATTTCTGGTACCTGTTATAGGCTAGAGCAGCAGTTTTCAACCTGCCTGTCGTTACCTCTCTTTTGGGTCCAACAACCTTTTCACAGGGGTCGCCTAAGAGCACTAGAAATCACATTCAATGAAGATTAGTCAACTCCTATGACATGCTTGTTGGGGAGGCAGTGGGTCTATTTTTGTTCGCCCCGGAACCCACAAGGAGGATGGTGTGTTATAAGAAATCTGCCACAAAGTAGTTTAATATAGTTTATATATAAATACTGTTGAATGTAAAAACCTATGCATTCTGCTATGATGGGTGGGAAAAATCTTCACTGCATGAATTTACTACTTATGAGAGCAATATAAGCAAGTGTTCATCAACTTTTTTTTGTTTCTACACACACGGCCCACCAAAACAGAGGAAATTGTTTTACGCCCCACCTGGCAGCTAACCAAACACAGAAACGAAAACAAATGTAGGCGGCAGTTTATTTGTCACAATATTACCATTTTCAGCTGATAATCATCTTTTGATTCTCACTATTGGGTATCTTCTTCATCTTTGCGTTTTTTGTTTCATATGCTCAGATCAGACCGGTTGCCTCTATGAACTTATATGTCAGCAGCAAATCCTTCATGGTTCCCCATAGCTTACTCTGCACACTTTGCTCTTGAGGCCAGGTTTCTTTTCGAAGTTGTAGGTAGATTGGGCAGGTCTGCAGAATATGCTCAGGTGTTTGTGGTCCTGTCTGACAGGCACACTGTAGGGACTGTAATAGTCTTTTATTTTATGCATGTACTCTTGGGGTCGTGGGTTCTCCTGGCGGTGCTGGACTTTTTTCAAAAATGACCTTGGCTCCCAGGTCAACCTAGCCTTGAGTGGGTACCGGATCCAGTCCTGGGAAGTGAAGGTGGCCGGCATGAGGCTGACCACATCACCCATCATGTAACGATTGGTCTATTAAATATAGGTCTAGCCCTACACACCTAAAGGGGTGGAAAGGGTCCTTTTACTCTTGGGGTATTAATCCTATGGACTGCAATTCTGATAGAGAAACTACCTTCCCTAACCCCATAATATGGTGGGGCAGAATTCTGTTATGGAACACCTGGACTTTTCCAACGGCCCAGCAGTTAAAGAATACGGGTGTAGGATATAGAAAAGGGGGTGGGGGGGGGGGGTGTCTTTGAGCCTGAGGAGTTAGCTCTCGTGCAGTCGCCACTGGGGAGTCGCAGTGGTATACCGGCTAGACACTTAGCTGTGGATCGGATGGTCGCACGTACAGAGACTAACAAAGATTAAGATCATAGCTTAACTATATCTGAGCAGCTACATAAAATTTTGGCTGCATACATTGAACAGTTTTTTTAAAAGCAGGATTGACATCGCTACTGCAACAAATTTACTCGGCACCAAAATATGTACCTTCATCAAATGGAAATAAGTATGAAATAAATATATATAGCATTATTTTCTGTGATTTATTGTTTGTATGATATAGATAAGGAAGATCCTTACAAAATTTCATAAAGATCTGACCATATTTAGATATCTTTAACCATTAGCAACGACTTGCATAATTTATGATTTTCCAGCTTGTTCTCTTTAAGTGAATACCAGGTACAATCCTGGGAATTAAAGGCGGCCAGCGTGATGTTGTCCACATCACCCAACGAGTGACCACTGGTCTATAAAATACAGGTCTAGCTTTTTATGCCCAGTACGCCCGAAGGTGTGGAAAACGGTTCTTTAATTTACTTTTAATCCCCACTGACTTTGCAGGATGAGACTTTATTTCTGACCCCATCCACATAAAAAAAAAAAAATCACCTTACCAAGGATTTTAACCTAGGTCTCCCAAATACGAAATTAGTTTTTTTTTTAAGAGGACAAAAAGAAAAATCTCAATTACTGTTAACAAGAACTTGGAGAAAAATATCCACATAAATCAAAGTGTCAAATCATTTTTTTAAACTGGTAGCTATTTTGTCCTGACGATATCTGCTACTTTTGGTCTAATGTTGAACCAGGCACAACAGAGATGACCTTCCACATCTGTGGACGGTTAAAGCTAATCATCTGGATTATTACAAGTAAATATGAACCTAATTTCACCCCGCCCCTCCTCCCCCCAAGGTTGAAGACCACTGCTCTAAAGTGTCCTACCATGACAGGGTGCTTTTGCTTTGAGTTCTCCTGTGAATACACAATGTAAAATTACTATCCACCACATGCACTCGTGGAATGACACCGCATATAGCAGAGCACATACTTCAAGACTGCCCTGAATGTAACAAATTGAGGCAAACATTTTGGCCAAAAGAAACAACAGTGGAAACTGAACTTTACAGATTATTAAGTGAACTAAAAAACAATACTCACATTCTTACAAAGACCACATTGCTTTTTTTAGGCATACAAAAAAAGAAGTTTTTCCAGACTTTCTTGAGCTCCTTGATAATTCATGTGTGTGGTTAACTCCAAAACATGTACAAATAATTTGTTTCGTATTCACCGGCTGTAAACTCCACCGGAAAGTCAATATTTAAAAAAAAAAAAAATACCTGGCAAACTGCATCTTTCATATTCTGCCAATCATGACCATGTTACAATAACTTCATATGTCCATATTTTACGGGCTATAAGATATACTTTTTCTTTGAGCCATGACCTCTGAAGTCAGGTCTATTTTATACTCAAAACGGATATACATTAGGAAATTTCATCGTCTTAAAAAGAAGTCATCTTTCAGATGCAGCCGAAAATGTTCACTACATGTGGCAACTTTGGTCATACAGGGCAGTAAAACTTTAGACACTAGAATATGTCCATACTGTATGGACAATAAGATGTACTTTTTCTTTGAGCATGACCTTGAAAGCCAGGTCTATCTTATACTCAAAATGGATGTTAGGAAATGTCAGTCTTAAAAAAAAAACCAAAGAGTCCATTTTTCTGACTCAGCCGAAAATGTTTATCTGGCAACACTAGATCTATGCGGCAAGGAAACTTTGCGGGCAAATGTCAGTTCTTCTTTGATTACATTATATAGCTCATGGTAAACATGTTATAAGATTACCCTTAGCATTTCTGGGAGGTACTGATGTGCCGTTTGCCATTACTTTATGTATTTACCCCTTTTGGGTGTATGTGGGGGAGGGGGGGGGGGGGTTTAACCTGAGGTTTTAAGGCTGTATGGCTAGTGCTGCACCACAGACCGTACAGGTAAGCATTCTATATTTTGCACCCAAAAGAAACAATCCGCGACCTAACTGAGGATTGGAACTCGGATTTCCTGCATGACAGCCCAGCATTCTTAACCACTTGGCCCGCTGCTTCTACCTGGGAGGTACATTTTCGGTAAATTCTAAAAAGTGATTTGTGCATTTGCCCTGGTGACTAGAGTCCTCATGGGAAAAAGTAAAATGTGTTCATATAATGAAAATATAGGTTATAATATGAAAAAAAATCAGCATATGCTATTTGACACGCAAACTAATTACAAACGTTTAATGTCTAATTCAGAAAAATTGCTTAAAATTTCAAGTTCATTATTCAGTCGGCAGCCTTTTATAGTTTGTAAAATATTGCAATTCCTCTAGTACAGTGTTTCTCAACCCTTTTTTGTGCCATGCCCCGCCTAACCCTTTCTAAAACTTTTGCCCTATGAAAACTCTGGACGAGTCCATTTTCAAAGTGACTCCCCCCTCCCCCCCCCCCCCCCCCCCCAACATATTGCCCACCTGTAGGGCGGTGTAGGCTCCATGTTGGGAAACACTGCTCTATTAGCATGAATCAAACTAAACTACACAAGCTCAAGATATCAAACCAGATGAAAAGTAGAACCAGTCAACAAGTGAATACTGCGGCTAGACAGCGTGCATGAGAGCACATACATAAATCTACAGAACCATAAATACGAACAAGAATACACAACACATTCCCAGCTAATGTTTAAAAAAAAAAAAAAAATGAGTAAACATTTAATGCAAAAATGTCTTCTTCTTCTTCGCGTTCACCAGCCGTAAACTCTGGCGGAAAGTTCTGGTTGTTTATCCACTTTTGGACTGCAGTTCTCTTCCAGAACCTGAGTGTAGTGTCTGCATCTGTTTTACAGATCTGACTCATTTGTATGCAGACTGCTGGTTCCATGCCCCTCGGGCAGATGCACTCCAACTTCGAAGGAAGCTCCCAATTAGTTGACTCTTACGACATGCTTTTGTGTAGGCAGTGGGTCCATTCTTGTTTTCCCTATAATAGGGTCCCGGAACCCACACGGGGAGAACAAATATATATTAATCATGGATAACATTTTGAAGCTAATATTTATGATGACCCATTTAACTATCTGACATGGTCATTACACTGACTGGGAAATGATGTATAGATATTAGAATAAGATCTACTATGACAGTGTTTCCCAAACTTTTCTTAGTTGCGGCGCCTCTTTTAATTAACATTTGTCCACGGCGCCCTAACCTAAGTAAAAGTATGACTATTCGTATGTAAGAGATTTTAAAAAATGAAAAAATATAAAAAGTCGTGTATCTTCAGATATTTTGCGGCGCCCCTATGCAGAGGTCATGGCTCGCCAGGGCGCCGCGGCGCAGTTTGGGAATCACTGTACTGTGAAGATATACTTTATAGCAAAAAGCTGTCAACTGTTTGCAGAAAAGGGTGCTATATAGAGTTGGAACTGTTATATGCACGTCAGATCTCAAGAAGCAGACAAGCTGAGAAATACTTGACCGCAGCAGAGACATACCATATTCGTTCCTGTATAAGATACTACCATGTTAATCAGACGACAACTATTTGTTTAGCCCAAAATTAAGACATAAATATTTTAAACAAATTCCAGGTAGGGTAAGACCACCCCATAATTTTAAACTTTAAAAATCTGGGAAAACATACTGTCTTATATATGAAAAAAATATGATAGTTGAAATGGGAAAACACAAACCATACTGTTTACTGAACAAAAATGAGACAGCCCAAGATGCTGATAAAAATTACTAACATGTTATGAAGAGAGGAAATTTGAAAACCTACTGGTGACTAGCAAATATGGCAGGAAAAATACAAAGGAAAGAAACATCACGACCAACGAGGGGAGAACACGGGCCTGATCCAAAAAATGAGGATCAAGTGACATGGTGAACTTGAATGACCACACCCACTTGCATAGCCATATACTATAGAAATATGCAATAAGCAACAACAACAACAAAGGAAAAAAATGTGAATGTTAAAAAAGCAACGTTTTTGTAGGTATATCTCACGAACCTGCCTGTAATTGGAAGCAAGATTTCCTGTCAGTGTCGCCGGCCGCTAACAATGTGGAAAACTGAAATGTGCCGGCAGCTCACAACATGGAATATAGACTGCTTACAGCTTTGAAAATAATGCAACATGACATTCCTAGAACATAGGACAGCCTGTGGGAACAGCCAGAGCATGAATGGGAGCTGATGGGAAACCTCGAGGCCCGGTGAGACGCGGGCAGGCTCGTGATATGTACCGATCTGTATTTTCCACTCAAATAAACCCTTGAAGAAAGATTAATTAGGAGAAGAGCATCTTGCCTAAAAAAGGATACTCTGATATCAAACGAAATTAAAAATAGGAAGAGACAGAGGCTATTAGCAAGTGATAAAGGCACATGATATGAAATTACTGACTAACAAAGATGGCTACTATTTGACACTAGCAGATTTTTCCTGGATGTACTGGAGAAGCTTGGATGCCTGATGTGCAACATCTTCGTTGTTGTGTCTTGTCAAACGGAGGACCTTGCTGCGCAGAAAAGACAGGCGGTCTGCACCGTGCAACAACTTATACACAGTCTCGGCGGATGCGGTCTTTGCCTCCTCAGGGATAGAGGCAAGAAGTTCACTGCTGTTGTTTAAAGCCACCTCAAGATTAGCAAGCATGGTCAGAGTCCGCAGTGTGAGGTCTGTGGGTGTTGGCATGTCTAGCAGCTCCAAGAGATTCCTAGGAGCCTGTAAAAAATGAGGAAAAATAAACTTGTGACAAGACAATTTGACAATCCAAAAATGAATGAATATCAGGGACAAATTAACTCAAAACAAGGGGTGAGAGAACTGGAAAATCCTTAGGTGGATAAACATCAAGGATTTAAAAAAAGATCAGATAATGAGACAAATCAACAATCCTTGAGTAAATAAATATCATTAAAAAATGACACAAACATGCAAAAAGATAACTGGACAATCCACAAGTGGTTAAATATCAATAATAAATAAACACAAACATGAGAAACTTCTACTAGCCACAGCCAATACAAACCATGGGAAAATCAACAAAAACATGATTATTAAAACAATCTACAAGTAGATAAATATTAAGGATGAGAAATACCGAAATCCATAAATCAATGAATCATCATCATCATCATGTGCCCTGCGAACTGGCAAAGGCGCTCATGAGTCTCCACAGATAACGATCCCTGGTTGACTGGAACAGCTCTCTTGATATTTTTCCATGCCATTGATTCAGCCCATCAAGCATCTTCTCTCTTGGTCTGCCTCTACACCTTTTTTCCACTGATCTTTCCAGTTGTCACGATGTTCTCCAATGTCTCACTTATCATTATGTGACCAAAGAACAGTGTTTGTCTCTTTCTTAGTGTGGTATATAGAAATCTATTTTCATTAGCTTCTTTCAAGCAATCGTTGTTAGTTACTCTGGCCGTCCAAGGTATTCGTAACATTTGTCTCAGAAGCCACATTTCTGTTGCTTTCAAATTCTTTTTAATTTGTTCACTGACATTCCAATATTCGCTGCCATACAGCAGAACAGGTTCTATATAAAATTTTAGCACCCTCTTTCTGACATTAAATTTCTTTTTTTTTTTTTTCGCGTTCACCAGCTGTACACTCTGGTGGAAAGTTATGGTTGTTCGTTCACTTTTGAACTGCAGTCCTGCTCCAGAACCTGAGTGTTGCGTGTGCATCAGTTTTACAGATCTGATTCACTTGAATGCAGACTGTTGGTTCCTTGACTCTCAGGCAGATGCACTCCGACTTCAAAGGAAGCTCCCCAATCAGTCGACTCTTACGACATGCTTTTGGGTAGGCAGTGGGTCTAGTCTTGTTTCCCCCAGGATGGGGCCCCGGAACCCACACGGGGATGATATTAAATGAGAGCGATTTATTGAATAAGATATTTTTTATTTTCTGAAATGCAGCTTTTGCTTAACCTATTCTGCTTTTAATCTCTATCACACATTTCCTATCTGATGATATATGATTGTTCCCAGATATTTTAATATATTGACTTGGTTAAGCCTTTTCCTTCAACTGAGATATCACATCGTGGAGTTTTCTTCTTTGATATAACCATTACTTCCGTTTTCTTAATATATTTAATGAAAGTCCTTTTTAGGACTCCCCATCACCATAATATCCAGCAGTTGTTGTATATCAGTTGCATTTTCAGCTACCAAAACTGTATTGTCTGCATAACGCAAATTGTTTCCTCAAACTCTTATTCCTGATTTCTCTTTAATTTCCCTCAAAATTATTTCACTATATAGAGAGAAAAGGCCTGGGGATAAGAAACATCCCTGTCTTACTCTTCGCTTTATCTTTTCAAAAGTACCCAATGTTTCCCACTTTAATTGCTGCTACTTGGTTCCAGTAAATGTTTTAATTATTCTGAGATCTTTCCCGTCTACATTAATGTCTTCCAACATTTTTATCATCTCCTCATGTTTAACTTTGTCAAATGCTTTGGTATAATCCATAAAGCACAAAAATAAGTCCTTTTTTATGACCATTAATCTTTCTATCAGTGTTCGTAATATGTATATTGAATTACTTGTCCCTTTACCTTCCATAAATCCATACTGCTCTTCACTCATTTTCATTCTTATTTTTCTTCTTGTCCTTCTCATTATAATTCTAAGTAGTAATTTGGTGACATGATTTATTAAGTTGACTGTAAGAAATTCTTCACACTCAATTGCTCCTGGTCTTTTAAGTAAACGTAATAAATACATATTTCATATCACTTGGTATGTACCCACTGTTATAAATGTCATTCATCGGTTTAGTTACTATTTCTACCCCACATCAATGAATACCACGAAAAAATAAACATAAACCCATGTGGCGAAATAATTGACTGACTTTTTACCTCACTAGGACATCAATCACATTGAGCGATAAATAGCAGACGACACAAAGTGCCACCATTCAGATAGGAAGAGGTCCCAGAAACCTTGTTTAACCGTTATATTAGGGCCTTTTAATCGTTTTATTAGGGCCCCTGGCAACAACCAGGGTGGGGCATCAAAATAATGAAAAATGTATCCATCAGAGAGTAACTTAATAAGAAATAACTTACCAGCCCATAATTCAATAAATTCCAACGAACATAAACAAGTGATGAGAAAACTCAACAATGAGTCTTCTTTGACATTTATTGTGACAGAGGCACATCTTCATCATCAGCACTGTCCTGTTGTGCCATTATATGTCACTCCATTCTATCCAGTGTAATCCTTTCGATATCATAGACGGAATGTAGTCCAGTACTCTTGGCTTTTTTCAAGAACGCTCATTTAAGGGTTTCTTCTGGACGTCCTCCCTACCTCAATCCTTTGATTTCCCATTTTAGTGCCTGCTTGGTGATTCTCTGCTCATTTCTTCTCAGATGATGTCAAATATAGCACCATCACTTTTGTCTTATAACTACTGTTCCCAGTGGTTGCCATATCTCTTATTTCTTCACTCCTCTTGAATTCGTCCCATTTAATGCTCAACATTTTCCTCAGGCATTTGTTTTCAAATGCATTTAACTTTCATTCCCAGTGTTTTGAAATAGTACAGACGCAAAGCCAATAACAAACTAATAACAAGCAAATATAGGGAACTGGGACAGAACAGTGGCTAGATGCTCACCTGCTCGACCCCAAGGTCTTTTGTATAAATCTGCACCAAGCAGATAACAGTTAAAAACAAAATACCTAAAACATAGTCTCTCAGGTCAAACAAGCCTGAAATTGGTACCAGGCAGTGTCCTGCAATGTAAGGATGGCTTGCGTAATGCTGACCGCACCACCGACTGATGACCGACTGGTCTATAAAAATACGAGTTTCGCATCATATGCAGGATGCTCTGCTGGCGTACAAGACAAAAAGGACTATAAGGGTTAAATGAAATCATATCTTTCTAAATAATTTCTCACAGAAATTAGCATTACTATCAGGAAAGTGTTCACTGTTTCAATTCTTTGAGGGAGAAATAAATTCTAACTCAACAACCAGGTAATTATGCATTAGACAATGAATAGTTCAAAAGAACAAGGCACATATTAGTCCAGTAATGCAAAATCCATGACAATTACCTTAGCTGCCATTCAACAACCAGGCAATTATACGTTAAACATTCAACGGTTCAAAAGACCAGTTCACCAAGGCACAAAGTATCCTCATAAGTACAAAAGCCATGACATTTACCTTAGCTGTCATTCAACAACCAGGCAATTATACGTTAAACATTCAACGGTTCAAAAGACCAGTTCACCAAGGCACAAAGTATCCTCATAAGTACAAAAGCCATGACATTTACCTTAGCTGTCATTCAACAACCAGGCAATTATACGTTAAACATTCAACGGTTCAAAAGACCAATTCACCAAGGCACAAAGTATCCCCATAAGTACAAAAGCCATAACATTTACCTTAGCTGTCATTCAACCACCAGGCAATTATATATTAGACATTCAACGGTTCAAAAGACCAATTCACCACGGCACAAAGTATCCCCATAAGTACAAAAGCCATGACATTTACCTTAGATGCCAGCAAGTGTGGCATCATGGTCTCATTCAAAGACAAGTTAACCAAGATCTTTAGACTCTGGACTCTGGCAATGTGCGAGCCTGTGTCTAGAAGATCATATAAACTCTGTACAGCATTTATGTAGCGGTTGTGGAAAGTGGACTGCGATGAGAAGTTGATCAGCGGCCGAAGTGCAGACAATTTTATGGGCTCACTATCTGAACTGAGAAGCAGGTCAATCAGTGCTGGAACAGTTTCCTGGCAATATTTTCAAAAGTAAATTATTAGAACCACGGGATGGCGGTATAATTTTCATCATCATCATACGCCTTGATATTATGAGTGAGCACACAGCTTCAAATCTCTAGTAAAATGTCAGCGATAAGCAAGTTGCGAATTTAACCCTCAAATGTGATATAGTGGATTTCGTCCAAGTCAATATTTTTTTTTTAAATTAAAATTACTCCTATTTTCCCATAAAAACTGTTTCATATTCGTAAGAAAAATCAATATTCATCCTTCCTAAAACGTGACCAGCAAGATATCAGACGAGAAATGAAAAAAGATGATTGGTGGGTTCCAAGTAAAGCATGTTTTCATTGAGAAATGGCACCCAAACATCGCTGTAGTTATCAGTGTATCATTTCATTTGATGATGTGTCTGAACACTTCAGAACATGTAAAAAAAAAAAATTAACAGAACAAAAACAAAATTGGATAAATTGTTTACAAAAACGAATGCTGGTGAATCATCTGGAAATGTTGGTGAATCATCTGGAAATGTTGGTGAATCATCAGGACATCCATCACCAGAAGTAACATTACCTAATACCATAAAGGAAGGTGACTCCCCTTTCAAACAACAGGACATTTTTTTTTCATCCAAAAGGTACATTTCTTTTTAAAATTGTATTCATTTAAGCCTACAGTATATTTACATAATCAGATGAGTAAATCTCTATTAAACTGATAAAGCAATAACAAGTGCAGTGGTTAAAATATATTTGCAATGATTTCTGAGATTAATTTCTAGTGAAATTTTGTCATTGTTAAAGAATAGGTAGGCAAAATTTGGGGCTAGGAATGGATAAAACCATTTTTAATTAATTCCTATGACATTTGTTCTTTTTAATATGCGTCCTCCACTCAGGAACAAATTAATGATGAATATTGGAGTTCCCCTGTACAGTGGGGTTCCTATTCCCTGAGTGCTGAAAGGGATTGAATCAATCTATTTTCCCCCATTTGGATTCTGGGGTCCCATTCAGGGGAGGGGGGGGGGAGAGAAGGGATAACAATCCCAGTGACTCTCCCCCAAGCATTTTGTAAAAGGTGACTAGTTAGGAGTGCAGTGTTTCCTTCAAAGACATAATGCATCTGCCAGAGAGGCGAGGAACCAGCAGTCTGCACACAAATACGTCAGATCTATAAAAAGGATGTGCATGCAAAACTGAATTTCCAGAACAAGACCAAAGTCCAGAAGTTGATCAATGCCAAATAAGAACTTTCCGCCAGAGTTGACAGCTGGTGAACGCTGAGAAGAAGAATATATATTCTATAACTGAAATTATTTTATTATCTGTTTGAAGTATACACACCTCTAAATCTGCCTGACACTTGGGGTCTAAAGTCAGGTTTGTCAGAACCTGGCACAGGGAGTTCAACAGCTCGGCTCCTCCTTCACCGGTGACAGTTCGGCAGGCTTCTTGCACCTGGTCAGCCACTACCTCTAAACACCCACTATCTCGCAATGGTTTCTGAATGGACAAATAAACAAACAAAAATGGCTGAATGTTGAATGTACTCGGGACACTCCCATTAGCGCTCCGTCCCCCTCTTTAGCAGCAAGCAAAGAGTTCTAATTCCGATGGTACTGGAAACAGTCTGACTGTACATCCATCTTGCCTTTCACTTGGGAGTTGAGTGCCAGCCAGATCCCCTGGTAACTACCCATAGCCCCATTTTCCTCAGACCATAATGATTTATTTGTGCCTCCGCACTGTTCACTCGCTGACTGACAGCTGACTGGCATAATAACAATATGAGGTATGCACTATCAAATACACCATACCCATCGTTAAATTTATTGAGAAGCAAAGAATGAAATGGTTTGGTCACCTAATGAGAATGGAACCAACGATGCCAGCATCAAGAGCATACAACATGAAAATCGAAACACCAAGAGGCAGGGGAAGACCAAGAAGAATATAGATTGAAGGAGTCACTGACAACTTAAGACTTCATAACATCACGGCATATGAAGCGACTGAGCGCGCCCTGGCTCGGTTGCCGATCATCTGATAGACTGCGACGCCTAGCGGCACAAGCAGATTTTGACAAAAGAAGAAGAAGAAGAAGACTATCAAATACGCCTCAAGGTGTGAAAAACAGTGCACATCTTTTCTGTTACTTTCACTGGTACACTTAAGTATTTAACTACATGAAAATACAGTTACAATAAAATCAACCAAAAGAAATTACAATTACAATACTAAGTAAAAGTAGGTAAAGGACCCTTTTCCACGCCTTCAGGCATATTGGGCATATAAGACGTGACATATATTTTATAAACAAATCGGAACTCTGTGGATGATGTAGTCAACATCATGACTGCCCGCCTTTACTTCTCAAGCCTATACCCGGTACCCATCCAAGGCTGGGAGCCAAGGTCATTTTAGAAGAAAAAAAGTCTGCCATTGTCAGGACCCGAACCTTCAGATCATCAGGCCAGTGTCTAACCGCTTCACTATGGCGGCTCCCAATTACATTGTGGTCAACCAAATTAAACTAGCCACAATAAAGTGAACCAAATGAAACTACTGTTACTACAGTGTTAAATGAACAAAACCACAGATACAAATTACCCAGTTAACAGGACAGTAAATATTTAAAGCAGAAAAAAAAAAAAGACCTAAAGTTAGCCAAGATACTCACTACATTCTGGGTGAAAGCAGCAACACGCAGTACACAATTTAACACCGTGGAATGTAGCTCTGGAACTCTCTTGCGTAGAAGACTAACCAAAATACGAATGTTCTCTTTACTGACTGTACTTGGAGAATTCTGGCATACGGTAAGGACTTCTGTGATATTGCTGGCTTCTAGTTGTTCCTCCTCAGCGGCTGGAGTATCCTGCGAGGTATCCGACCCAGACTTTAATAGAATATCAAGTCTAGAGGTTACACTCTCTGTGGTCTCAACAGCTGAACTACGAGGAGATTCTTCAGGTACAGCTAGTGGGGCACCGGAAGAGACGGGTGCTTCAGTTTGACTCCTGTGACTAGAGGAGCCATCCCAGGCTGGATCATCTTCCACCTTATCTTTGTCAGACAGAAGAGAAAAATCCAAGTCTGCAGATGGAAATGTATCAGCTGTAGCGGTAGATGATGCATCTTCTGGTACATCTGAAAGCTCCAGAGCCTTGTCTTTTTCCTCGTCCTTTATTTCATCAAATCTGCTGACGACTTCAGTAGCTTCATCTGCCGAAGCATAAAATGACGATCCGGACTTCGACTGGATACTGTGATCTAAGTCTTCAATAAAAACCATGCTGGTCTCATTTATAACATCTTGTTGCCTCGACTCTGAGCTGTCCGCCAGAGCATGCCCACCTTCATCCCTCTCGCCCTCCTCGGCTCCTTCTCCCTCGACTGTTTCTGCCATATGTTCTTCGTCATCCTCAATAACATCATATGAACTCTCATCGCTGCTCCGGTCTGACTTTTTAGGATGCTGGCCATTATCTGGGGGTAGTGCCTCCTCTCCGTTGTCAATAACAATAAAGCTTGTCTGTCCCTGTCCTTCATCTGCCAGTTTGTCTTTCCTAATGTCATCATTTCCATTATTACTGTCTCCACCACCTGCATGTTGGCTTTCCTGGCTCTGTGATCCTCGCTGCACCTGGAAGTTAAAAAATATTTGAAATAAAAGTTATATACAGTTTCCTTGACTTTCCACCAAGTTCTGTTCCAACTAATAAGTCGTAAGTCGAACCGGTCGCAAGCAGAATTTATATTTTTCAACAATATTTTCATTCATAAGAGTTGTACAAATTGTATATTATTTAAACAAATTCAATCTATGCACATAAAATTATTGTACACAGTGTGAAAAATATATAATATGTACCCTACTGCATCAATTCTAGGCACATTTTGACCCTACCAATGTAGTTATCTTTATATATATATATATATATATATATATATATATATATATATATATATATATATATATATAAATATATATTATATATATTATATATAAAGATAACTACATTGGTAGGGTCAAAATGTGTGTGTGCGCGCATGTGCGTGTGGGTGGGTGGGTGGTGTGTCATAAGTCGCATAGGTAATAAGTCGAGGAGGTATATTGCTTTTACTTTTATCAACTAATTTTTTTTTTTTAACTCTGTCAGTACCTCTTTTAGTTCATTCTATCCAAGAAAGTTTAAACTTCAACTATAAATGTCTGGGTAAAATTAAGTTAAAATAAAACAATTCTTCATCTGGGTTTGTCCTCAAAAGGGTGGCCACATGCTGTGTTGTAGCTACGCTACGATATCTGTCTTTTGGCTCAACAAAGGGGGGTTTTCTAAAATCAGATGTAGGAAGAATTATTTACTTAGAAACTCCTCTTCTACCTGGGGTGTAGAAGTTTGCCAGATGTCTCTATCAGCAGTTTTCTTTCTGGTTTTGTCCATTCCATTCTGCTGTCAGTTAGGGATGTTGTCTTCCCAGAGGACCCTGGGTCGCCCTGGAGACATCTGATTTTAGCAAACATTTAATTAGTAAACTTTTACTACATCCTTGACAGGGGCAGGTTTATTTTTTATCCTTCTAAAACTGGACCCCAGAACCCACAGGGAAGAGAAAGAGGAGGTGGGGGGGGGGGGGGGGATACTTTACCTCTGCTGAAACATTTTCACCGCCAGCAGATGTGCCACTTTCTGCACGTTCTCTAGTTACATCTCTCTGAAGATCAGTATCGTTTTTATCTGTCGAGTAAAATTAATCTCTGATAAACCTGCAGATTAAACGTTTTTAAGAAAAATTTTAAGGAAAATAATATGTTAAACATTTACAATAAATGAGTAAAAATAAAAAAGGCACAACCCTTTTAATGCTCGGGGTGAGCCGGGCATATGATGCTAACCTCATATTCGTATAGACCTGGCACAGACCACTCTGTGTTGATTTTAACAGTTGTATGGAGCACTTACCATTCAGAAATCTTCTTCTTCTTCTTCTTTGGCGGAAAACTCTAATTGTCCTTAAACTTCTGGACTCTAGTCCTGTTTCAGAAACTGAGTGTTGCATGCACATCCGTTTCACAGGTCTGACTCATCTGCATGCAGACTGCTGGTTCTTTGCCTTTCAGGTAGATGTACTTGTACTTCGAAGGAAGGTCCCATTTAGTTGACTCTTACGACATGTTTTTGGGCAGGCAGTGGATCTATTCTTGTTTTCCCCACAATAGGCCCCTGGAACCCATATGGGTTCGTTCAGAAATCATGAAACGTTTCTTCTGCCTTTCTAATCCCCAATGGAACACAGGCCCCCAACCAAGTCATTCTATCCTTCGCTAACGCATGCAGCTCTCCCAATGTCCTCCCCATCTTTTTAACCAGTTCTCTTCTAAATGTGTTTTTTTTTGTCTTCCTTTATTTCTATGACTCTGTACATTCCAGTGCAAAGGCATTCTAGTTATACTGTTCTCAGGTTTTCTCGTGTGTCCTATCCAATGTCTTTTCTTCACCTCTTGATCCACTGGAAATTGTTTAGTTTAGTTCAAATGGAAATGCCAAATGGAATTACTGAACACAAAAGTACCTAGTACAATCAAAAACAGGCCAAAAAATGCTAGGGCTGATTCTGCAACGCACTATAAAAGATAAGGAACTAAACTTCCTTTAATCGACGTAATTAACATTATACTGTCACTTTTACTAACCAGGACATTTCCTGATACCCATTCTAGGCTGGGTTAACTTAGCAGCCAAGGTAAATTACTAAAGAAAAAAAAACTGTGCCAGTTTGGATTCAAACCAAGACCTTTGGGCAGTCAGGAAAATGTGCTGTCCTTAATGCCTACTTTTATACATCTAAACTAGAAGATTTTCAACACATACAAATAAAACAAATTTTCTGTGCTAAATTTTCTTACTAAGCAATACATATACAAAAATTATGTGCATTTTATATTCATGATCACAAACAATCACAAACAAAGCTTTTGAATAGTCTACAAATGAAAACAGAGTTGATGAAAGAAATAATAAGAGTAAAATATTTTGACCACATTAAAAGGCTAAACACGCCTATAAACATCTTACTGCAGGGAAGACCACACAAAAAACAGACGGCTTGGAGTATTTTTTATACTTATATAATACTATACACCCACACTCACACACATACATGCATGATGCCAACAGCTTTATGCAGAGTAATTCAAAGGGTAAGATATTAGCCTTATCTTTGGAAGATAAGGTGTGCTGGGAAATGAACAGACTGACAGACTGGCTGGCTCTGCACAACTTGGTGGAATACTGATGCATGATAAGGCAGACGTGGTTAGTGCTTGTGGGAGAGCGTGTAAAGTTTGGAAGAGCAGGTGGATCACCACAGTCTTCTAAGAGATTGATGCAGGGGGGAGTGACGAGAGGTTGTAGCAGATGCTCGAGGCTCAGAGGAAAGGCAAGACGGACGTTTAATAAGAATGCTACTGGCACCATTAGTATCGGAAATCTTCACTGGCTTCTGAAGATGGGGACGGAGCGCTTATGGGAATGCCACGAGTGCTGCGATGTCGGTTCTACAGAGATTCTATCTGAATTAATGTTTTGGCAGGGTAGATCAGGCCCTGACCTGGTTGGTAGCCCGCTAGGAGGGAAGTTCCGACAGGCGGATAGAGCCTTGCTCTTCTGATCTGGCAGCTTCTGCAGCATGTTTTGTTCCAAACATTTAATGTTACCTTTCCTCTGGAATAAACAAGGCAGGCTGATTGAGGGATCATGATACTTGGGCAACACATGGTCTCTACAATGGCTGGTGGCTGAGTATGTTCAGTATGGTGTGTACTTGATTGACACCTTTCCGTCTTTCCAGACGATAGTGTTATATTGCGCTATGAGCAGGCATTTGACTCACAGCCCATGGCGATGACGAGTGTGACTAACAAGACCCGCCTGTGTCAAGAAAAATCGTCCAGTTATAGCATGGGATTTCAGGACCATTGTTGTTAACAACAGCAGTGAGCTGCAATTACGATATAGGATTATTAGTACTGGTAGATGAGACAGCTGCTTTGAGCATTTACTTTGCATATGTGAACTTCAAGTTTTACCAAGTCTGACATGTTTTAAACTAGTTTTCAAATCAAATAGTAACAGGTAATTTGTGGAATTTCTACTGGCACAGGAATGGAGCAGTTAGGATGCAACCCATCTGCAGTGAAGTTGAAACCTTGACTAATGACACAAAGTATCTGACTAATGAAGATAAAGTAACACTGTGACCTAATCTATCATGCATTTATAAATGACCAATAAGGAAAACAAACATGAGACTGACTACTTTAAATGTTGGCTCAATGCACATAAAACTTTACCTACAAAATCCAACTAATCATAAATATGTCTGCAAGAGGCATGGAATGAGTAGATTAAAGACCTGTGCTTTATTCAGGAGATATGAAAATGAAAGCTAGTAGTTGAAAAATGAATAAATAAGGACCAATGCTGATTAATAATATTTAAAAATAACGCAGTAAAAGTATATATTTGTGTTCTTTGGTAAATATTCCATCTTTAGTGGCAAATCCTTCCGACTGAATCAATAAAAACGCTGTCTAACTTACAAACACACTGTTAGCAAGAGAAGGACACATCATTATGTCAGTCTGTCATTGATTCGTCCTTCTCCCTTCCTTATTCAATGACTCCCGACTTTTCGCATAACATTAGTAATTACAATTACAATGTTTAATCACATCCACACCATATTTTCCATTTAAAAAAAAAAAAAGAACTAAACAGTGTAAATCATTTACCACGGACCAGTCGTCTCTTGACAACAAAATAGGATAAGAATGCAACCGCGGCGGTGGCAAAGGCGCCGAGAATCAGCTGCACTCGACCTGAGGGTGTCATGTCGTTTCTCTGAATTTCAGCAGCAGACAACCTTCGGTTCAGCTGCCGAAAGTAAGGCGCGCTCTTTCATTTGCAGCATTCAGACTTTTCGGGTTTTTTTTTTTAAATTGTTTTTTTTTTTTTTATGTGATGACTTAAATTGTACAAGCTGTGTATGTGCTTAGAAGTAGTTTTTTTTTTTTTTTAAATAATCTGTTGTTGCTTTTTTAATTCAAGTTATTTGTCATAACAGGCTGCGGTTGTTGCGACACTGGGAGGGCGGGAAAAGTTTCAAAGATAAGACCATGCTAGTTTAAATGCATAAATAAATGCAGGGTGAGCAGGTTGATCGAGACCCATATTTACTCCTCTTTTTTTTTCTGAAATGAAGTCAAGTTAAATGCACAGTGCTCCCTTTGTGTAGATCCACTGCTAGATGTGCTGAAACAGCAGTCTATCAATCTTTCCACAAGGGACTGTGATAAACATCCTGTGTGTTTTTTGTTGGCATAGGAGCGTAGCAAAGATGGGG